TATGTGACATGTCACTTTTCATTGTGAAGAAAGAAAGAGCTAATGATGCACAGCATTGCACATGGATGCTTAAAGCCACTTTACACATTGAGGTTACACTTTTCTGACAAAATGTCAATGTCCTGCCATACACATTCAGCATCACTGGGTTAGTTCCATTTGCTTTTGAAAGCACTGTTTATATATGAATTCCAGAGGATAAAAATGATTTATGAAGATCTGTCACATAGAACAGCAAAAACAGAAGCAACTTTTAAGAACCTGAAGCAACTGAACTGAATCCCAATCTTTAAAGACATTGTGAATAAGATTTACCTTGTCATAAACTTGGGTGGCTGGAACATAACTGATTTTCATCTCATCTGTTTGGGTTGCTTCACTGCATAACATATACAACCTGAGCCTGTTCCCAATGAAGTCAAATGGGAGGTGTGCAGTTGCCTTCAACAGCAGAAGGACTAGCCCCAAGGAGAGGGTTTATACATATGCAGCTCTGCCCTACTTTTTTTTTAAAGTTGCTTTTATTTTATTTTTTTAAATGCAGCGCTCTATAGTAATGATCCAAAACACGCATGTTTCTGCAATGGTAAATGGGAATCTTTCTGGCCCAAGTGTACAGAATGTTATTGCACTTCATTTGTTTTTGTTAAAGATGATGTTTGGTTTGCAAGTCTGGCAGACTTGAAATGTGGCTATTCCTTTTTTGGTACATTGTGTCAAATTCACTATTCAGCATTCACTAACAAGACTTAAGTTGGGGTAAGACAAAGGAAGTTTCTGTTAAAATAACAAAAGCAGCTAATAACTCCCAGCAAATCAGTAAAAGACAAGTAACATATTGCCCTATAATAAAGAGAACAAAAATAAGACTGAAAGTGTTACTTTTTGTGAAATTGAGTCTACTGTTGCTTAATTACTGCTTTTCCAATAGAAAAAAGGGGGACAGTTTTAAAAAAGGGGGAGGAGCCATAAATATTTTAAATTCCAAACTTTGTGATTAAAAATGGCATTTGAAGTCAAAATTAAAATGAAAATTTTTATTTCACTTAGGAAATTCTAATTTTTCATTCAATAAATTTCAAAATGATTTTTTACAGCAGGAATTTCCCTAATTCCCTTTTCCAACTAGCTCTTATTATATAGTTTATTATATATAAATATAGTATTTCCACATAGCTGTAGGGGAAATGCTGTATTTATTATATTAGCATAAGCAAATAATCACTAACATACCAAATCAGACCAGCAGTGCACCTTGTCATGTATGTCTAACAGTGACCAGCAGTAGATGCTTCAGAGGATGGTGCAAGAAAGCCCATAATTGGCAATCACAGATTAATTTTCCCATAGAGGAAGTTTCTCCCTATTCTTAGGCCAGGTCTACACTAAGAAACATTTGTTAGTACACTGATGTCTGGTAGAGTATGTGATTACTTTGATGACTATTTTTCACACTGGCAAAAGCCCTAACGTAGAAGCAGTTATACCAGCATACGTACTCTTGCCAGCATAGCTTATTTCACTCAGAGAATTGGTATAAGCAACACCAGCAAAAGCATACTCTTGCCAGTATAAACTGCATCTGTACTAGGATGGTTTGGCGGTTCAGCAATACTAGTACAGCTATATTGACATATTTTCTAGTTTAGACCTTGCCTAAGGCAGTTAGTGGTTGAGCTGTGTCCTGAAACATGAGGATTTGTATCTTCCATTTTTTCATCTTTTCTAATGCAACTATAAATGTGCTTATTGACAATGTATTTCATGCTTTTTTGGGGGGGGAATCCTACTAAGATCTTAACCCTTCTCTCTTGTGGAAGAGGAATTTCAGAGATTAAAGATAATACTTTTGATGTAATACATAAATAATCAGTTTCATAAGCTGCCTTTCAATTTAATTATAGGTGTTCTCTTGTTCTTGTATTATAGGAAAGGGTTAGTAACAGCACCCAATTTATTTTTACTGTACCACTGATTTCATGTTTCTCATTTCTCCGCTTACTTGTCTTCATTTTAAATAATCTTGCACTTCCACATGGCAGTCTTTACATGCCTCTGATCATTAGTTGACCACCTTTGTGCCCTTTTAAATCTGCTATATCGTCTTCTAGGACATATGGTGATCAGAATTGAACACATTAATCAAGGGAATACTTATACTATGATATTTTAATAATATTTAATAATAATAAAAATATTTTCAGCAATATTTTCTGTCCTATTGTGGTAACATTTTGTTTTCAACGTTGCTTGCCATTGCACATTGAACAGGTGTTTTGAAATAGGTGTTTCCTTCATTTTCAGATTTTGCATCCACCAAACTATAAGTCTCGCATTCATGACTCTTGACTGATTGAAAAATTTGATTTAACAAAAATAGTTCCTCTTTCACCTATCTACTGGGGGGGGGAGGGGGGGGGGGGGAGAAATCGGAGATTCCAAGGCCATAAGGGATGACTGTGATCATCTAGTCTGACCTCCTATATAACGCTGACCCAGGTAGTAACTAGATCTATGTTCTGTGAGGGTTCATTGAAGACATAACTGATACTTTCCAATGATATATATTATGGGTGAAATTCTAGCAAAAATTCTATTGACTTCAATGGGGCCAAGATTTTATCCTATGGGTGTAAGAGTGTAACCAAATACCTCTGGCTGCTGTGAACAGTGTAGCATGCCATGGATCTGATTTTCAAAGGTGATGAACATAAACAATCCCAGGGAAAGTCAGTGGGACCTGGAGTATTCAAATGCCCCTTACTCTGACTTTGAAATAGGCCAAGTAGGCCATGGGTGGTTTGAAGGATCTTTGTTTTGTAAGTGATTCACTGCTAGCTGATGAAATGGAGTTAGTTTATTCCTACTTGAACGTTTGGGATGTTTTACAATGTTAGATTAATTGTCAGGACACCTACAGCTCTGGTATAGGCATTTCCTTTACTATTACTTAAATAGAAAAAAACAAATAAATACCGAAAGATCAGACCCGAAGTACTTATGGAGAGCTGATCACTTGAAGGCAAACATTCTGGGCATGTCAAACACTGCTAGATCCATATAATGGATTCCCACAGCATTCACAGCCTTACAAGAGCAGAAGCAGAAAGTAACAAATTTCTTAGGCACAATATGCTACACCAGACTTGCCTTTTTTTAAAAAAACAATACATTTTTTAATTCTAACTCACTTCTGTCAAGAGTAGACCAATGGACAGGTGCAATGAAGAACATCCTCCTTTGATCTTTTCTTGTCGTGTATCTGGGGGATGATCATTCAAGACTATCTCTCTTTGCTAGGTTTTAATTCTGTGTAAAATAGTTAGAGACTATTTAAGCCCTGGTGCCTTTTGTCATTACACATCACTAGGGCCCTACCAAATTCACAGCGATGAAAAACACATCACGGACCATGAAATCTGGTCTTTTGTGTGCTTTTTACCCTATACTATACAGATTTCACAGGGGAGACCAGCGTTTCTCAAATTCGGAACCCTGAGCCAAAAGGGAGTTGCAAGGGGGTTGGAAGGTTATTTTAGGGGGGTACAGTATTGCCACCCTCACTTCTGCGCTGCCTTCAGAGCTGGGTGGCTACAGAGCAGCACCTGTTGGCTGGATGCCCAGCTCTGAAGATGGTGCCCCACCAGCAGCAGCGCAGAAGTAAGGGTGGCAATACCATACTATGCAACACTTATTTCTGCGCTGCTGGTGGTGGTGTCTCTGCCTTGAGAGCTGGGCTCCCAACCAGCAGCCACTGATCTCCAGCTGCCCAGCTCTGAAGGGAGCACTGCTGCCAGCAGCAGTGCAGAAGTAATGGTAGCAGTACTGCAACCCCCTACAATAACCTTGTAACCCCCCCCCCCTTTATTGGGTCAGAACCACTACAATTACAACACCGTAAAATTTCATATTTAAATAGCTGAAATAATGAAATTTACCATTTTTAAAATCCTATGACTTTTAAATTGACCAAAATGGACCATGAATTTGGTAGGCCCTACACATCACCTAACTTTCATGTTGTTTTTTTAATGACATCGGAATCAGTGTGTGCAGTAATAGCTTGCTCTACTATTATTCTAAGTATTACCTACACATATTATGTAGAACGGTTGCCCTTAAAAATGTACATATCTTGCCTTTCATAAACTTTGCCAGAGAAAACATTACCTCATAATTTGCAGTATCCCCTAGAGAGTACCCAGCGATTAGGAGGGAATGCTATTTAGTTTTCTGAAGCAGCGTTAAGGCAATTGGCAGTTTCAAAGAATGACCTCTGTATCTTTGTTTCAATTGACTGTTATTGCATTGCTAAACTATTACTTATTATCTGCTCTAAAAGTATTTACCCATTTAATCTGAGATACTGCTTCTTTAATAAGTGATGTTTAATCAACATGTACCTAGTGTCTAAATGTAAACCTAATTCTTGCCTGAACTAGTTTAATATGAATACATAAACTTGAGAATACTCAATTAGTTATAATTACTATTATCACTGCCTACCAAATCCCTTTTATTTATTTTTTTATTTAGAGGATGTGTATACCTTAAGTACTCTTTATTTGAAGATAAATCCTGATCATTATATGTAAGGCACAGTACATGACAGTGGTATGGTGCTTATATTGGGTAAGTTATATGTAATATGAAATGGCAAATGCAACTAGGAACATGGGATAAAATTAAGAAAGGGGAAATGATGAGCAATTAACAACTTTCTGGCTGCGAGATCTACTTAGTAGTAGTAGGTACCCCATGAAAGTGCATGTCACTTAATAGACAAAGAAACAGCACGCTTGCACCAAAGAGCACACAACTTAAGGGTCCGTGGCCCAGATCATAAAGGTATTGAGATGCTTAGCGCCCATTGATTTCAATGGGAGATAGGAACCTAAATACCTTTGAAGGTCGGGGCTCTTGTGTCTTCACAGAGGGAGGAGGATCTGATTTCAGGATCAGGGCCTCAGTTATGGCATAACTTGACAAATAATTTTTACCTTTTTCTTTGACGACAACTGGAGGCTTCACTGCTTGTTTTCTTGTGGCCCCTGAAAAAGTTACAATTTTGTATACATTCATGGGAAGAGAAGGCATGGAGGACCAGGTACAGCAATAATTTCATGCAGTAGCTTTGGTTGATGTTTCATGTATCAAAAGCTCATAGGCTTTTGTGGGCTTTTTAAAATCTTTTATTCTATGTGACACTGTTCTTTAAAGGGAAACACTAGGGTTTATAGGGTTTGTGGAAGGAGGATTTTTTTTAAGAGGGATTTGAAGGAGAAGCTGCACAGGTGGAAATATGATTAAAGGGGATCAAGGCATAGAGGAGTGTAGGATCTCCAATCACAGGGAAGGAGGCACAGAAAATAGTGGGAAAAGGAAATAAAGGGAGTATTGAAATGTGCACATTACATGATGTAGTAAAGGGAACAGGAGGGAAGAGAAAAAACAAAACAAGAGTAGACTGTTAGGCCTTCTTTAAGATACTGGCAAACATGCCGGGGGAGGGGGGGGGGGGTAAGAATTTTAAAGGAAAAAGTCCGCTGTAAACAAGATCTTTTACTGTGGAATAATCTCAGAAGGGAAGCAGTGGAAGCTTCATTGCCCGAGACATTTAAACTGAACAAAACTCGAACTAAGATGACTTCATGGATCTTTTCCATCTAGGACTCCGTGATTATTATTTCTGCCCTTTAAAGCAGACTGCAGGTTATATGGCAATCACTTTAGGACCAACTAAGTATCATTTCCAGAAGCATGTGATTAATTAATCTAGGGTGAGATTTTGAAAAGCCCAGAATGAGTTGAGCACCAAATTCTCCAGGTGCTTTAGAAAATCCCATCTCTAAATATGGACTCTTAGTAATTTAGAACTTCTATTTTTCTATTACCTATTATTCTATTTTTACCTCTTTCTTTGACAAGAACTGGAGGCTTCACTTCTTTTTCTTTTGTAGGCTCTGAAAAAATTATCAGCAAAAATTGAAGCAGGGAGGTATTTATATTATCATGCCTTTATACAGTATCTAGAGCTGTGCAACAGTTTCACAAAAAATATACCAAACTAGACAAGAGTTGATTAGCATGGGGTTTTGTTAAGAATCCAAAACTCAGTTTAGTTCAGCAAGGGTTCAGTCTGGGATCTGAAAGGCAAACTATGCGCTTTCCTACCAGACCATTTTAACCATGAAAAGATTCTATAGGCCAAACTATGCCCTTAGTACAACTGAGCTCCCCCATTGTCTTCCATGGGCTTGCACAGGAGTCAATGAATTTAGCCAATAACTGGAATTTAGTTAACAATCTGTTAGTGACTGATGCATAAGAAGCAGCAGACACCAGCTCTCTCTCCAGTAGGTGCACTGGCTCTGCAGATCAGACAAGAGTCAAAAATAGAAAACCTTATTTTTATTTCTTAATTACATGTGACTTCAGAAACACAAAGGGATCAGATCTAATGAATAAGACGGTGCCGGTTTTTGTAACTTTTCACAGAAGATCTGTAATTTAAGGTTAACAGGAATTGTGTGCACTGAGGCAACGATGCACTCGTTAGTGTGAACAACTGTATATTTAATAAGGGAATAGGTGTTTTTACATGTGACTATGAGCCATTACCCTTTTCCTTTAAGGCTGCTGGAGGCTTCACTTCTTTTCTTTTAACAGGCTCTGGAAAGAAACATTTAACATTTATCAGAAGTCAGGTTAGAGAAAAAAGATGACACATGAGAAGGAATGAGTCATATATTTTGATATGGAAAGAGAAAAGAAGACAGATGTGATAATCAAGTGGCTTTAATAGCATGGAAGTAAGCAGGACAATACAAAGATGTAATTAACTGAGCCTTTTAGACTTAGTTTGATAAGTAAAATAACAAACCTATAATATGCCATTAGTTCTTTTGTATTCAGAGAACTTGTTAGGTTGTCTCTCAAATAGAAAATGAATAATGATTTATGAAGAGGAAAGTAATTTTATACATCGGTTGGCATCAGCAATGGATTTTTCCATGACTGAACTGAAATACAAAATGAGCACACACTGATACAGTTAGTGTTAGAATTAAAAGCCAGAAGATGCCAAAGAAGGCTAAGGAGAGGTTCTTTTTATCTGGGACTGACAAAAGATATGGAACTAGAGCTGGGCAATTTTTTTTTCAACAAATAGTTTATTCATCAAAAAAAGCCATTTCTGTCAACCCAAAACTATTCTCAACTTCATACTGAGTTCACCAAATAGTTTTGACTAAAACCAAAAAATTGAAGTGTTTTGGGAATGTTGAAACTAAACTGTTTGTTTTGACATTACTGAAACATGTAGATTTTTTGGGCTAGTCTGACATGACCAGAGGAGGAAGTGATAGTGCCACCCTCCTTATCACTTTAGCTCAGTGGTTAGGCCACTCACCTCAGATGAGGAGACCCACGTTGAGTTCTCCCCTCTGCCTGATATAGAGAGAGGATTAGACCTTGGATCTCCCACATTGCAGGAGAGTGTCCTAATCACAGGGCAATGGAATATTCTGGTGCCAGGCTCCCTCAGTCTCTCCCATTAAAGCCGTTTTATGTTTGTATAAATAGATAGTCATTGGAACAAGGACTTGGACTTGAATCTCACACATCCGAAGTGAGGGCCCTAACTAGCAGGCTTTACAGCCATTCTCACTTTTTTTTGCATGGCCCAATAACTATTCATTATCATTCACAGTGGCAATTCAGAGTTTTTCAATTTCAACCAGAGGGAAAGATGACAGGAATTGTAGCCTGGCCAAGGAGCCTGGTCCCGAGAAAAAAATGAGGACTGAACTACTACTCTCCTGAGCCAGCAGCTCAGGTGGATGCAATTCAACTGTGAACCAAAATGATATGTCGTAACATTTTGATTCAAAATTTTTCAGAACTTTACATGCTGTGAGAAATTTTGATATTTCAATTTTTCCATCCCAATTTGAGACTAAACACATTTTGAAATATCAGAATTTCACACAGCATGCAGATTCCAATTTTCGACCAGCTATGCCTTCTAATTTCAGTTTTGATGACCCTGTTGGTAGGAGAAGTCTGTTTGGGCATTTAATTTTGTTATTTGACACTGAACCTACAGTATATCTTGTATGTGTGCTTTAAGATAACCTGAGTGTTATCAAGTAGTGAATTTAGATCTCAAGAGAGATTACTAATAATACCCACGTATCTCCATTTGAGACTCTTTTCCAATATTGCATAGCTATTCAGATATTTAGTTATTAAATCTATGAATTTATATTTAACTTGTGCCATTACCTTTGTCCTTTGGAACTTCTGGAGTCTTCACAGTTTTTTCTTTTACATGCTCTATAGGAAAGTACAGTCAGTGGATTTCAGTTTTAATGACTAAAAATAATAGATGTACACATGATGCATTTAAAAAGGACTAGCAAGTAACATATGGTAAAAGCTAAACCAATATAACCCTTGATCTCTCTTTACACTTTCTGGCATTTTGTCTGCAATCACCTTTGACACCAATCTGTCAAATTAAGTCCCTGATTCTTTAACACAGACTGCTGGCCCCACACAGAGCCCTACTGAAGTACATAAGAACATAAGAATAACCCTACTGGGTCAGACCAAAGGTCCATCTAGCCCAGTATCCTGTCTTCCGATGGTAGTCAGTGTCAGGTGCCCCAGAGGGAATGAACAGAACAGGTAATCATCAAGTGATCCATCGCCAGTTGCTCATTCCCAGCTTCTGGCAAACAGAGGCTAGGGACACCTAGAACTTTGCATGGATGCAGAGATCCATGTAAGTGGATCTGAATACAGGACCAGATTCTTAGGGCCTCAGCCAAAGCCTGTTGGAGGTTAGCAGGAATCTTTCCATTGACTCTAAGTGGGCTTTCAGTCAGGCCCTTCAATTCAATACCTTAGGCGGGGAATATGTATTTTATCTCAGTAAGAGAACTGAGCACCCTTATTACATCGTATCATTAATATTATATGGAACACATCTTATTAATAGCCATTTCCTACTGGTGCTAATCTGTTGGCCTCTGAAGTGTACAGGTCAGTGAGCATTTGCAGGGATTAGATAGGAAATGATGTTTTCAAAGGGAGGAAACAATTTTGGACCTTTTTGAATGTCACTTGGTTGAAGTGAAAGAATGTTACCATTTGTAGGAATGCTAATTACAGTCAGTCATAATCCTTCTGAGCTGATATGGCACTTAAATGCCTAGCAGAACTACATCTCCTTGCAAGGATTACTGTAGGCTCTGTATAAACCAATGTTAGCTAAATTCACTGTAAAAACAGTGTTGAGCCAACAGAAGATTCTCTCTAAACTAGATTTAAAACTAGTTTCCAACTCTCAACAGCTGCAGGCCCTCCAGACTACCAGGACTGGATCCCAAGGATCTGTCTTAATCCACCACTAAACTCAACCTGACTTTAGACATGGGCTTTGCTAATACAAGTTCATTTCCAGTGGGGACAGAGCCTTAAATTACCTGCATGCATCTGATCTGGGAGACTTAGCAGACACTATCAGCAACACCAGAGGTTAGAGGGAGGGTGCTAGATGATCCTTCTCCCAACATGGAGTGGGGGGACACAGCCCAACAGTCCATCCCTCCCTGCTGCAGGGGACCTCCATGAAATTTCCTAGGTGGAGTGGCCCTTGAAAAAGCTCCCAGCATTGTCTAGCAATTAGGGACTAAGCAGCAGAAGCAACAACTAACAGCAGCACCAGGGGGGTATCCAAGGTGTTCTTATCCCCTATCTTCGTGAGCCAGGGCTTTAGAGACACATGGCCCCAAGAGCTCCCCTCTCTTTCCATCAGCCACAGGGAGCAGTGATTTTATATCATCAAACGGTCTGAATGATGTCAACCTTCAAGCTGCTCTGACTTGTCAGGGACTGACCTGGTCCATGATGGCCCCAGGATTAGGGGAACATAAAAATAGCTTAAAACCACCTGTCCCCTCTTTGCCTCATACTGCTCCTTTATCAAGCACAGATTAATTGCAGATGAGAAGCTGTGATCATATGATTTTAGGATAGGAACAAGCAGCAGGAGTAAATAAATTAATCAGAACAAAGATCTTGTTGTTACACAAATATTCATACTCTAGCAATAAAACAGGAGAAGAAAAGAAATAGGACATATAGTCTGAAAAAGTCATCACTTTCTGATTCATTTTATTAGGCATCAGAGGACATTTAAATTTACACACCGTAAGTTTCCATTTTGAAAGGAAAATACTTGCTATAAAAGAAAATACTCCACTGAATGCTACAAACAGGATTTTTTTAAAACTTCAAATGACCTACACACAATGCATAGCAAGTGCGATAAAGGACCAAAGAGCAGCAAACAATACACATTTGTTTCTTTAAATAACATGTAGTATAAGTACTGTGCAAGGGATACAAACCGCTGACTTTTTTCCTTGTGTAGAAACATAAAAATAAATAGAGCACATAACTGGATAACAATAAAATATATGCACAGGAACCTATGCATCCCGAGTTTCTTTGGCCTCAGACTAATCCAGCAAATCAAAATTAAACCAACCTGAAATTGTTGAAGGGGATTTCTTATTTCAGCAAAGAGCTGAAGATTTAGTGTTATATTTATAAATAAGTCTCAGATTCTACCCCTAATAGGACGATATTTCTTCTGTAGAAGAAAGTAAGTTTCTTAAGTATTCTCCTTAACTGGAATTTATTAAACTAGAAGTGGACCTGACCATAAGGTTCAGGGACATTTGATTCAGCCTTTTAACTAGACAGAGAGCCACTGTTACGTTCAGACTGGCAGAATATCCACATCTGAAATTCCTCCACCTTAAACAAAAAAATGCTTAATGCTAAAGCTGGCCTGAGTCAATGCTCCTCTTCACTCTTTCCTGCCTTTCTACTGGCAGTAGTAATAATTCACACATATTGACTCAGTTTCATAGCAAGAGTTTTGATTCAGAGAATCTTCATCTTTCTCTTGTTATCCCAAAACTCACCCTGTTGCCCAAAAGAGTCTGAATTAGATACCATGATCCCTCTTTTCTTGCAGGGATTGTATTGATCACAAAAATGTTTAAATAGCTCATCCAAAACTAAAATCAATACCTTTATTCCATTTTCCAAGAACACCAACATTGAGCTCACAAGCTCCATAACAGGGATTAGTAGTACTTGGCCTGAAGACCCCAAATCCAGCCATTTGGGTACATATGATTGAAACCGGGATTTTGTGCAGTAGTTTCCTTTTTTGAAATCGTGGCCTTCAAATGCTGATTTGATAAGAGCTATATCGGTTCTCTCCTTTGCTTTCTCTTAAGTTGATTTTCATTAGCATGCCAAATCCCTACATAGCATCTGCCTTTTTCTTTCCAAAAGAGATTCAACAAACTTTTCACTATCCCATCAAAGACTGGTTGGATGGAAAGTACAGGGATATTTTTGGTTCATAATGTTTAAACTTATATACAAGCTAGTATTTACATAAAATGAATGTTTATCTATTAATTGAGTTTTTTTCACAATTTTACCTTGTATTTCTTTTACTTGTTAATTTATATAATAAAAAATAAAACACGTAGGTGTTTATCCTGCAAACATTTACGCACATACTTAACTTCAAGTAGGTGTGTGGCCTGACTGACTGGAAAGAACAGTTACTTATCCTATTGAATGCACCTACTGAATGCATCTCATGCACATAAACTCTGATTCAGAGCTGGTGCAACACACACAGCAAGAACACACACGCAGCCAACAACCGACAGCACTGAATAGGAAAAAAGAGAATACAGTGGGGAAGCAAAATGTTATCCCTGAAGGGCTGCTGTGCTCCAGTGAAACTGAGTGGGTATGGGACTCGTGCATGCTGCATGCATTTGGTTTTTTGGATAGTAAGTTTAATAAAGCCCCAGTTTTAAAATCATCCCTAGTCTGGGAGTGTAACATGGCCTTTTGGAGAAAGGAGCAACAGATAGATGCTCTGTCAGGGACATGCCTATCTCCAAGGCAAAAAAGGCACCTCCCATCATTAGGCAAAATAGCTGCATTACAACATGGGCAAGTTTTAAATGCTGGGGAGTTTGTTTCAGGCACAGCAACTGAATCCCAGTACCTGACAAGTCCCTAAACACACACACACACAAATCTAATGTCAATGGACATGAAAAAAACCCTACATTAATTACATGATCTGATATATTTACAAGTCTAAGAGAAAAATACAGTGTACAGAGAAGCAGATTTCTGTCTTGCTGTTAGGGATGAGGAGAAGAAACTGAAGGACAATTGGACCCCGCTGTGCCCTTTATGCCCTTGGATGGGAGGGAATGAGGGATTCAGGGAGCAGGTGTGGCCCCAATGGACACTGCTTGCTGAAATAATCCAATCTCATCCAATGGGGTGCATGCACACTAGAAGTGGAATTCACGTGGACAATCACTTGAAGAGCGGGACTATTCATGTGTGAATGTGTTTGTCGGATAGGGGCCCTTATCATAAAGAAGTGGTAAATCAGCATGATTACCAGGGCTTGAGTATATATCTAGCAATTCAATTGCTGTCTCTTTCTCTACAGTTCACTAATTTACATGGGGTGTTATTCTACATAAAGAAAATAAACTAATTTCCTCAGTTACTCCGGTTTGAAATAATACAAAATAATTACTGTTATCTAATATAAGATATTATTATATTTACAAATGTGGTGATACTTCTTATCCTGAAGAACAAAGCACTTTTTAAACTATGTATTAACACATATTGCTTCACCCTTGAAATGCGAGTAACTCTGGAGTGGAGGATAGCAATAAGGGAGATGAAGGGGGCACAGCATGCTGAAAAACAGTGACTCAAGGGAAATTTTAGTTGAGTTAACCATCTATACATGCAAAAAATGCCATAAGAAATTTTAAACTTACATGAGAAAGAAAGGGAGAGAAGAAATAGACAGACTTGCACTTCTAAAGACTCAGGTGGTTGAATGGTTGAAGCAGTGAGCTTTTAACCTCAGCCTTTACAAAGCCCTGAAGGCATGTCACTATCTATCACACTTTCATACCATTTCATATGCTACTGTTTTACTTTATTCATGTTACATCCACAGGTTTATACAAGCAGTTCAATTCAGAACTTTCCAACTGCCTCTAGAAGACACTAACAGTTCTTTATCTTGATGAGGTTATAGATCTTAATCACTGATGAAAATAGTTTTCATAATGAACTAGCATTTGTATTGTGATAGACCCAGACCAGTGGGGTACAGGAGTCTGGTAGAGGGCAAATATACTGGTCACTGGATGAGTAGTTTTCTGTTGCCTGAGTGACCAGAGCAGGGGCTGCACTAGAGTAATCAGGAACCTGCTAGAACCAGTTAAGGCAGGCAGGCTAATTAGGACACTTGGAGCCAATTAAGAAGAAGCTACTAGAATCAATTAAGGCAGGCTAATCAGGTCACCTGGGTTTTAAAAAGGAGCTCACTTCAGGTTGTGGTGTGAGTGTGAGGAGCTGGGAGCAAGAGGTGCAGGGAGCTGAGAGTGAGAGGGTGTGCTGCTGGGGGACTGAGGAGCACAAGCGTTATCAGACACCAGGAGGAAGGTCCTGTGGTGAGAATAAGGAAGGTGTTTGGAGGAGGCTATGGGGAAGTAGCCCAGGGAGTTGTAGCTGTCATGCAGCTGTTACAGGAGGTACTATAGACAGCTGCAGTCCACAGGGCCCTGGGCTGGAACCCGGAGTAGAGCGTGGGCCTGGGTTCCTTCCAAACCTCCCAATTGACCTGGACTCTGGGTTCTCCCAGAGGGGAAGATCTCTGGACTGTTCCCCAACCCACATGGTGAATCTCTGAGGCAAGAAAATCCGCCAATAAGCGCAGGACCCACCAAGATAGAGGAGGAACTTTGTCACAGTATATTAATAGTTCTGTGGCTTCTACACAGTAGTTAGATAACACTGTTTGACTCTCCTTTCATCACATATATGGTAAATGAGATTTTGACAATTTTAATATTCAGATTATTTTTAAAGATAGAGGAAAGCCCCTCCTAGATTTAGTTATAATTATAATAAAGTTAGTTATGATCATTTTAAACCAACAAACATTCTATAATGTGTATAATTACCTTTATCTTTTAAAGCTGCAGGATGCTTTACTTCCTTTTCTTTGACATGCTCTGTAAAAATATGTATTAGTTTAATTATCAAACCAAAGGGCTAACGGCTAAAATCTGATGACTCCGTGACAATGCTTGATCAGACAACTGATTGTTTGAAACAGTCTCCAAAACCATTTCAAAATTCAGTCAAAAACACTGATTTTGACCATATTTAATATGCTTACAAAATAAAACAACATATTTTATGTAATTACAATGTGAGAACAAAGATCACTTAAAACTTGTGCCATATTTTCTGAAATCCTTTGCAAACTTTATCAAATGCTTCTCGATTCTGAGGCTGTAATTCTGAGTTTCACTGCAAACATTTTGCATTGCCTCAGCTTTGTTCTTCACCTACAATTCAGGCAGTCTGAATATTTCTTAAACTCTGAAAATGTATTTTCCTCACCAATCCAAAACTATGTTTTATGTTACAAATAAAGACATCCATATATAATGGGGATTAAAAAAAAAATCAAATCCTCTGGCACTTGTAGTATTTTATGCTGCTATATTATCTTTATCCTTTGTTGCAGCTGGAGGTTTCACTTCTTTCTCTTTTACAGGTTCTGTAAAGAAATATTTGTCACAGATACAGTGACAGTCACAAGCAAAAGCCTGGTTTGTGAAATACAGAGACTGAATCGTATGAGATAAAGAACCAGTTAGTATGAGAGACTCTAGCTATACAATGGCACAAATGGCAAGAGATGAACTGATTAGAAGAGTTGTGTGAAACCTGCCTGTTTCAGTTCACAGTATGTGTTTTGTTGATTTCATTATGAAACTTGCAAGATTTACTAAAGTTTAAACAAGCAGCCTCCCACAGGTCCAGGATACTCTTAATTTTAGTTGCCATCTGAAGGGAGCAAACTGACCCATTTCCAACTCTCCTCTCCTCAGATAATGTTTCGGTGACCCACTTTCGCCATCTTCATTTTTCAAGGGGTCAGCAAAATAAGCTGGATACTTTTTAATCCTTCCAGTATCTCCTTGGGGATAGATAGTCTGTCCACCCTCCTCCATTCTTTTTTAACAGGTCAGGAAAGATGCCTCTGCTCCTACTAGTCATTTAATGCTTTGAGGTGCCTCAACCCCTTAGTGAAAGTGCATTACATGGCCAGCAGAAATAAGAGACGGGCTAACAATCAAAAAAGAACCCTACAAAAAGTGGAAACATGGATGAATTGATAAGGAGGTGAACAAAAGAATAGCACAAGCATGTAGGAACAAATATGAAAGGTTAAGGGACAAAATGAGTTACCCTAGCAATGAACATAAAAGGCAATTAAAAAAAGATTCTTTGAAAACATTGTAAGCTAGAGAAAGATGAAGAAATGTAGGCCCTCTGTTTAGTGGGGAAGGAGAGGTAATAACTGAAAGAAAGCAGAGACGTTTAATGCCTATTTTGCTTCATTCTTCACTAAAAAAGTTAATGGTGACCAGATACTCAACGCAAGTAATATTAACAACAGGACAGAAGGAATGCCAGCCAAAATAGGGAAAGAACAGGTTGGAGAATATTTAGATGTTAGTTGTATTCAAGGCAGGGGCAGATGAAATTCATCGTAGGGTACTTAAGGAAGCAGCTGAAGCAAACTCAGAACTATTAGTAATTATCTTTGAGAATACCTGGACTATCCCTGAAGTTCCAGAAGACTGGAGAAGGGCAAACATAGTGCCTTTCTTTAAAAAGGGGAACAAAGAGGATCCAGGGACTTAAAGACCAATCAGCTTAACTTTGATACCTGGAAAGATACTGGAACGAATTATTAATCAACTTATAAGCAGCTGGAGGATAATAGGTTCATAAAGAATAGCCAGTATGGATTTGTCAAGAACAAATCATGGCAAACCAACCTAATTTCCTTCTCTGTCAGGTTTATTGGCCTGGTGGATAGACAGGAAGCAGTAGATATGATATATCTTGATTATAGTAAGGCTTTTAACACAGGCCCTCATGACATTCTCATAAGCAAATTAAGGAAACATGTTCTAGATGGAATTAATATAAAGTGGGTACACAGCTTGTTGAAAGATGGTACTCAAAGAATAATTATCAATGATTCTCTATCAAACTGCAATAGCATATCTAGTGGGTTCTTCACAGGTCAGTCTTGGGTCCTGTATTATTCAATATTTTCATTTGTGACTTGGATAATGGAGTAAAGAATATGCTTATGAAATTTGACGATGACACCAAGCTGGAAGGGGCTGCAAGCACTTTGGAAGACAGGATTAGAAATAAAAAAAAACTTGACAAATCAGAGAATTGGTCTCAAATCAACAAGATTAAATCAATAAAGAAAAGCACAATGTACTTGACTTAGCAAAGAAAAATCAAATGTACAACTACAAAATAGAGAGTAATGGGCTAGGTGGTAGTACTCCTGAAAAGGGGGTGGGGGGGTTGAATGGATCACAAATTGAACTGGAGTTAACAATGATGCAGCTGTGAAGCAGGCTAACAATATCCTGGCATGCATTAATTGGAGTGTTCTATATAAGACATTGTAAGTAATTGTCCCACTCTGCTTGGCACTGGTCAGGCCTCAGATGGAGTACTGTGCCCAATTCTGGGTGCCATACTTTAGGCAGGATGTGGACAAACTGGAGAGAGTGCAGAGGAGAGCAACAAAAATGATAAAAGGTTTAGAAAACCTGACCTATGAGGAAAGGTTTAAAAACTGGGCACGTTTAGTCTTGAGAATAGACTGAGGGAGAACCCGATAACAGTGTTCAACTATGTTCAGGACTGTTATTAAGACGATGGTGATCACTTGTTCTCCATGTGTACTGAAAGTAGGCCATGAAGTAATAAGCCTGTGAAAGGGCGCTACCAGCAGCACCCTGATCACTGACCTTGCTGCAGCCTGAGGAAGGCTGAGGGCAATTATACAATTTCTGATGGGGGATTGTGAGCACCTGGGTGACAATCATTGGGCGAACAAGGTAACAGGGGATAATAAAAGGGGAGGAAACAGGAAGCAAGGGAAGTTCAGGAGATGGCTCTGCGGGTGAGAGCTACAGGAACACCTATCCTTGCTGTAAGCCTATATTGCATGGTATTATTATGTAAGAGAGGAATAAACACACACCTTGGTGGAAAAACAACCAGTCCAGTGTGTTTGTGATCGTGAAACCATCTGAACTGCCTAGGCAATGTAGTTCACTGGGTAGGAACAAAGGTGCCCTGTGACAGGCCTTAACCTGCAGCAAGGGAGATTTAGGTTAGATATTAGGAAAAAAAACTTTCTAACTCTAATGGTAGCTAAGCTCTGGAATAAGCTTCCAAGAGAAGTTGTGGAGTACCCATTATTGGAGGTTTTTAAAAACAGGTTGGACAAACACCTGGTCTATGTTTATTTGGTCCCACCTCAGTGTAGGGAGATGGAATTGATGACTTCCTGAGGTTCCTGCCAACCCTACACTTCTATGATTCTATGACTTTTTTGTTATGTTTTGTACAGCACCTAGACTAATGTTCTGGTCCATGACTGCGGCTTCTTGCTGCTATAATAATTTGCAGACAAATAGTGGTGGCGGAAGGTAGGCAGGCCACCAACGGAAGACAAAATATTTAGGAAAAGCAGGCCTACCTTGCTCTCTGCCACCCTTCCCCTCCCCAGCTCTCCTAGGAAAGTGTGAGAAAGATCAGGTCATCTGGCCTTCCTCTAAGGAGCTAGGAGTGGGCCAAGAGTCCAGTGCTTGAAGATGCTGGAGAGCATTGTGGTAGAAGACAGCCTAGCTTTCCCTGCAGAAAATAACAGGCCTGGGCCTAAATTCTGCTGGGAATAGGAGTGCAGGTCTGAAACTTGCCAAAGTTTGCTGAAAGGCATAAATAACCTCAGTGACTTTTATTGGCAGACTGAAATCACACTTCACTTTTTCTCATCATAGCTTTCTAAAATGTGGCATACATCCAATGTTTAGAGATTTATCAGTGCAACAATGAAGCTTTTTGTTTCTGTTTTAGTACCGTGCTTTTTGTAGAACAAGTCTAGTACCTGGAAATCTGCATATAGGGAATTCGGTTATAATGAGACTTCGCTTATAGCAAAGTTGACCAAAAGCTGATAAAACCTCATTTCTGGTTATAGTAAAGCTCTAATCTGTAGAATAAATTAGTTCAATGGAAGTGTGTTACATTGTATTCATGATCATACAGCGAAAGAGCCTTTTTCTTTCAAATAGTTACATTTACAAAAGAAAAGGTCAGAAGAAAGTTTGTTAAATGAGGGTTGGCGGGGGGGGGGGGGGGGAGGAATCATTTTGTTGGGATAGATTTTTTTTTTTTAATCCTTAAAAATATACAAATTGTCTGTCTCCCTTCTATTTTCAAATGGAGTCAGTGTTTCAGCCATCTGATGCTCAAAATATAGAAAAGAAACAATTCAATGCCAATGTTGTGAAGCAGTGTTACCCATCTAATATTACTATCAAAAAGTCAAATACTAAATAGACTATCTATTAAATATTCATATATAATATAAATGTTACCATGAATGAAATGTAGAGCTAAGGCTGAAAATTATTAACTACACCTTTGTGCCTCTATATTGTAGGAGTCACCCAACGGCAGTCCTGTATACCATGCCACATCCTGCAACACCCCAAAGCAACAAATGGGTGGGCAAAAGATGGAGTTTCTGTCTTCAGAATCAGTGTCCTTATTTCTGAACGCTTATGTCAAGACCCCTTATGTGATTTGAATGCAGCTTTTGTGGTCAATTCCAGCAATGACAATACATTTAATTATATTAGCAAAATAAGCCAGCCAGCATCACACACTGCTAAACCCATTAAGTTCAGAAGCCTGCTTATAAGAACTCAGGCAATGTGCATCTCCATTACTAACAGCACCATTATTGCATTATTTCAAAAGATGTCACACCAATGATTTGATTTCAAGAGATCAAACACTTGTGAACTCAAAGCCTGAATCATACTGACTAGGCCTTATGTTCCAAGTGATCCAAAAAACCAGAAAGCCATTCAGAAAATGCTGCCAAGATTAATGCCATCTCCAGGAAAAGCTTAGCTTTTGGGATGGTGCTGGATCTGATACAGATGTCATTCAAGAATTAAAAGAAAGCTTGGAAATATTAGCTTAAATTATAAATAGATATAGGACATATTGTGACTAGATGAGCAGTCTGAGATCTATCATATAGTTGCCATTGAAATACTATATTATAATTATGGCAAAATTATAGTCTGGTATGCAGGATAGCACCACTAATTCACACCAAGGCCCTCTGTTATTTATTCTGCACTGGTTCTCACCATTAAACTTCTACTGACATGAGAATATGCAGCTGAGATACTTACTGAGGCTAATGGCGTCTCAGTGACAATCAGAGAGAAGAATTTTGTCCATAAAATAATATTTTTTTTGTAATCTAGGTTTTTCTCAGCAGTGTTACAAAGAGGTGAGAAATCTCCTCATGGCCAAAAGAAGTAGAGAGCAAACAGTAAAGAGACCCTAATCCTCTGCTCTAAAATAGAAAAGAATTTCTTAGCATTTCCATATGAATACCTTTGTTTACTTGATCCTATTCTATCTAATCAACCATTCATCCATTCACCCGTCCCATAATAATAAATAATCATACTTGGCTCTCATATACTTCTTTTCATCTGTAGAGTTTAGGGAAAATGTATGATAAAACTTACTTGTTTCTTTCGGCTGTGGTTTATCTAAACAAAAAACAAAAAACCTCTTTAGAGTAACCTTTGTTTCTTGTAGGAGCAAAAATGTAATGCTAACAAAAAATGGGTTGTAATAGAAGAAACCCATAAAAACATCTTTAGTCAACAAACAAGAGAAATTAATCTTAACTGCTAAGGATTAGAATGAAAGTCATTACCATTTTATGGCTGCTTGACAGCATATGTGAAATGAGTTCATGGACTCAGTCCAATTTGTAGTGGACATGTAACCACATCACACACAAAAAATATCAAAACAACCTGTACAATTTTCTACTAATTAGCAACCTTTGTAGCAGTGTCCAGTAACCCAGGGAGTATTGGGACTTAGGGGTACATCTACACATCCAACTGCAGGGCTAATTTCCAGCTTGAGTAGATGTACACACACTAGCTCTAATCTAGCTAGCATGCTAAAAATAGAACTGTAGCCCTGGCAGTGCGAGCAGCCAGATGGGCTAGTTGCCCAAGTACATACCTAGGGTCCTGAACAGAATTTTATTTGGGATGGCCAACCCATCCTGCTGTGCTCGCTCCACTTCTATTTTTAGCATGCTAGCTCCATCAAAACTAAAATGCACATATGTACTCAAGATGTAAATTACCACTCCAGCTCAAAGTGCAGACAGACCAGGAGCAAAAGAGGAAATAGAGTAAGTAGTAATTCACTGCTAGCCTCTACTAACTTAATATCCTGCCCTTCTCCCCTGCTCCCCATTTGCTCAGCTACTTTTGGCCGCTCAATAGGGGGATGGAGTTAAAGCTCTGCCTGTTCCCTGAAGCTCTCCAACCACCCTGCTCTTCCTACTCTCCTTTAAACATTTTGCAAAGGTTGCACCAATCTCTACATTTCTACTAATATAAAAGCTGGTAAATATGATCAATAATAATTTTCCTACCACTATTTTGCCCAGTTCTATGTACGAGCGATTTAAAATCAAAGGCAAAACAGTTTTAATACCTGAACATTTTATTTTGAAACACTAGAATTCTTGCTAGGGTTGTTAAATTAGCAATGCTGCTAACTCATGATTTTATTATAACTTTCAGTATTTTGTGTTGCTCTTAAAGCCCCAGCCCCTAGAATCAGACAAGTAGGTGAGAATTTTAAAATTAAAACTGTATTTTTAACCCTCATGTTTGTGGAGAAAAGCTTGAATACATGACCTAAGTAAACCCTTTAGGCTCAAAAACCAGAAGGCAAATAAATAGAACCCCAAATGATGATTTAAAAAAAAAATCTCATGATTTTTAACCCATCTCATGACTTTGGGGCCCCAATTCCTGAATGTTTGGGGTTGGCAATACTGAACTGGCATTACAGTAGGATGGATATTCTTCCTTTCCTTTGCTTACTGAACAGTGGACTCTGACAACTAATATCAAAAGTGCTGTCACTGCTCAGTTTTAGAGGCATGTCCATGTGTGGGATGGTGCAGTGAGTGAGCTGCTAGATCTACTACATCATAGTCCAGTGTAGGATGCCTGCAGCAGGCCTCAAGCAGACTACTCAAGGGGTCTTTGGCCCATCTCTAGGGTGAGAGGTAAAAGGATATCTCCTAGCACCCAATGCAAAGCCCTTTTACTGAAGTTTTTCAAAAAAAGACCAGAATTTTACTCAATGGCTTTACACGAGTGTAAGGCTACATCTACCGTTGGAGCTGGGGGTGCGATTCCCAGCATGCACGGATGTACTCACAATAGCTCTCATCAAGCGAACACTAAAAATAGTAGTGTAGCCAGGGTAGCATGGGCAGAGGCAAGTGGCAACACAGGCAAGCCACCCCTAGTACAAACTGCCGGACCCCATGCAGGTACTCAGGGTGGCTAACCCATGCTGCTGCTTGCATTGCCCATGCTACCTTGGCTACACTACTAATTTTAGCATGCTAGCTCAATGAGAGCTAGTACAAGTATGTCTACGTGAGCTGGTAACCCCCTCCCCCAGCTCCACTTGTAGACGTAGCCTAAGACGGGCCATCAGCCTTCCAGTTTTTCTTAGGATGCAATGCAATCTCCAGATCTTTGTAGAGACATAGCGCTAGATCCTCAGTGGTGTAAGCTGGCACAGCTCTGTTGATTTCAATGGAGCTACGTTCATTTATCCCAACTGAGAATCTGATCCACACATGGCTGAAGCTCCACTTGTCCTACCACATGATTGTCTCTCTTTTTTTTAAACGGGGACCCCATGTTGCTGAATCAAAGTCACCCTGCAGGACAGGAAATCCCCTATGGGACAAATGAAATGTTAAGACTCCAGAATGGTTTGTTCACTTGAAGCGTCTGTGTGTGTTTTGTATTACGTAAGCGAGAGACCGAGCCAGAATCCTATCTGAAATTCTCTCTTCTCTGGCAAACTGAACAGATCAATGGCACAGACTGATAGAGTAATGAATTTAAAGGTTATTGTCATGAAGCTGTCTGTTTTTTCCCTTGTGCTATTGTCTTTCTAAAGCAGATAATGTCAAAATATTTCAAGTTTCTCTTTACCTTGCTCCACAGCCTTCGCTGTTTTTTCTTCCTTCTTTTCAGGTACTGCTGCAAAACAAAGATAAGGTTTAAGTAAGACTTCCAGTCAGAAACGCTGCCCCCCACACAAAGCCTTTCTGAAGTAATTAAATGTCTACAGATTTCTTTGAAGGAAATGATTTCAAAGTCTTGTGACCACAAGATAACCTCCCTTCCTCACAATAAACGGGTAACACATTTTTTGACCAGTCTTATAAAGAAAAGGAATAAAGTGAAAGGGGATACTTCATTTCTTTCAAAAATGAATAATACAACATTTCCTTCTTTGTCTTGAAAGAAACCTCAGGCCAGGTTGTGATGAGCCTGGCATGACTGCACAGAGAGCCACACCAGAGGCTTTGCTTTGCACAGTCATGCAAGGGCCTCCCTCAATAGCAATCCCTGTACTGCATACTAATGATGAGTGCCTGTACAAAACCCTAAGATAAGTGGCTTGCTGAATCAGGGCCTACGCACATGCTTCACTTGAAGAATGTGAATAGTCCTACTGACATCAGTGGGACTAGATCACTGAAATACTTATTTAATTCCTTTGCAGGAATGGTGTGATAGAGAGAGATTATTTGGTCCCTGTGGTTATTCAGCAAATTAGTTAACAGGTGGATGTCCAGGAAGTGGGGCCACACAAGAAGGTCACAGTCCCTCCTGGCACACACCCAAATAGAGGCCTTCATATTTTCTGATATTTAACATGACACAATTGGGAATATGCAAGATCCCCAGGAGATCAGTAAGTGTATTTAATAGAATGTGTAAGTTCTTGTTATTTAGGGAAGAAAAATTTGCAAACATCTGTGTTTAGTGATAAAGTGTAGTGCCAGCTTAAATCTGGTCCAACATTTAACATCTATAAAATGCAGTTCTTACAAATCCTTAGGCCAAATGAAATTTCCTGCAGTGTTTGAAACACAAAATCTGTGGCACTAAGAAACTGAAAGGAAAAAATGTCTCAATTGAATTTCATTGAACAAGTTGAGAGAACTGCAAAAAGTAAACAAAGGATAAATTGCAAGAGGTAAATTGTGTTCAGAAAATTATTTTACTTTCAACAATCTAAGTCATTTTTGATAACATAGGTAGGGCCCAACCAAATTCATAATCCATTTTGGTCAATTTCATAGTCATGGGATTTTAAAAATCATAAATTTAATGATTTCAGCTATTTAAATCTGAAATGTCATGGTGTTGTAATTGTAGGGGTCCTGAGCCAGAAAGGAGTTGTGTGGGGGGGGGGAGGGGGTGGCAAGGTTATTGTAGGGCGGCTGCGGTACTGCTACCTTTACTTCTGCACTGCTGTTGGTGGCAGCGCTGCCTTCAGAGCTGAGCAACTGAAGAGCAGCGGCTGCTGGCCGGGAGCCCAGCTCTGAAGGCAGAGCCACCGCCAGCAGCAGCGCAGAAGTAAGGATGGCATGGTATGGCATTGCCACCCTTACTTCTGCGTTGCTGCTGGCAGGGTGCTTCCTTCAAAGCTGGGCGCCCAGCCAACAGCCACCACTCTCTGGCTGCCCCGCTCTGAAGTCAGCAAAGAAGCAAGGGTGGCAATACCATGACCCCCCTGCAACTCCCCTTTGGGTCAGGACCCCCAATTTGAGAAACGCCAGTCTCCCCCCTGAAATCTGTATAGTATAGGGTAAAAGTACACAAAAGACCAGATTTCATGGTGGGAGACCAGATTTCATGGTCCGTGGCACGTTTTTCATGGCTGTGAATTTCGTAGGGCCCTAAACATAGGGAAATAAATTTCTTTGTTTGTATTGATAGAGTTTTCATTGATAGCAGCATCCTTTTCATTTGTTTTTTTCAACCTGGCACAAGAAAACATTCAGTATAAAACTTTATGCTACAGTCCATTGCAAAAAAAATACATTCAAGGATTTTGCTTTTAAAACTAATGTAAATACTAATGGCTACAGTCTGCCATGTGTACTCACATTGAGTAGTCCCTGTTGAAATCAATGGGGCTATTTACAAGGGTCTTGATCAAGCAACATGCTGAGGACTCTGACCCCGCTTCACCAAAACATGCCAGCAAATGCTCAACTTTAAGGGCTTGTCTACACTACAGAGAATATAATGTCGTAACTACGGCATTGTAGCTATGCTGGCACAGGAGTAGTGTAGATTCATCCTACAGCATCGGAAAGGTTTTTTTCCTGTTAATGTAGGAAAACCACTTCCCTTGAGCGATGGTAGCTAGGGCAACAGAAGCATTCTTCCATCATCCTAACTGCATCTACACTTGAGGTTAGATCAGCAAAGCTACAGGGCAGGTTGTAGATTTTTCACACCCATGAGCACCGTAGCTATGTTGATTTAAATTCTAAATGTAGGCCAGGCCTAAGAATGTGAGTAGTCACATTGACTTCTATGGAACTTAAGCACTTAGCAAAAATTAAGCACGTGCTTATGTGCTTTATTGGTTTAGTAGGATTGAGCCCATTGTAAGGTGCCACTCACTGTGAACAAGAGCAATGGAATCTGGTACTAAATGCATTTCAAAATGTACATATAGCCACAAAACTACTATGATAAGGACCAAATGAATTTTTAAGCATGCTTGTTTTCTCCAAACTACATTTACCTTTCTTAGCTGAAACCGCAACGACTTGCTCTTTGGCTTGTCCGGTTTCTGAAAATTCAGAACATTGATGGAATGAAAAACAGTCTGCAGAAATACTTCAAAGATACCAGATAGCAATCCAAAACAGCATTTGCTATGAGCAAGATTAAAAGAGCAAAGGACAGCAAAGCTAGCCGTAGAACATACTGCAATATAAAGTTCTTGTCTGTTAATGAAAACAATTTTTCTGATGATCTTGTATTTATTGAATCAGGGGAAAGACATGGCAAAGAGAAAAAAATGATGAGAAAGCATAAAAATGAAAAAAATATAGGTGAGGTCATTCTAATATATATAATCTGCACATGAAGGCCAGAGAACCAAGAAGCTGATAGTAAAATAAATGGACTTGACTAACTCAATTCACTCAGCAGGCATATAACAGGCTAGACACAGGGTTAAGTTTCCTCAAAAACATTCTAAATCTATGAAGAAGAAACTTTTGACACTTGGATACTTTGTCAGAGAAATCCTAAAGGAGCTGGATAGCAAGTGCCAGAACTTTTCAAGTGTTAAGAAAAAGATGAGCCTGACCTACAAAATTCAGATCCAGATTTCCAGGCTCCAAACATTCGAGGGCATTTGGATTCAAGGTTTTGGCTAAGTCCATTAAAATGATAGAGGCCAATCATGAAATTTGATCCAGATGCCAAACCTTACTTCCCCACATTCTGTCCCCACCATGCAAAAAAGATTTGGTGGTATCTAGACTCGGGGGGGGGGGGTTGGTTTGGTCCTTTCTTGGTTTAAGAGATTAGCTTTTCTCCATCACTGAACAACAAAGCTTAAAATTAAAAACAGTAATAAACTTCCCTACTCGGTCATAATTTTCACTTTAAGATTCTTTGCCCACAGGGAAATCTCTTCAAGATTACCACATACCACTCAGAGCTAATGAATTTTCAAAGCTGCTGCATTGTCATTTCTATACTAAATGGGTATAAAACACAGTTTTTATTCCAGAACATAGATAAAGTTCATGCTGAAATTAAAAGTGTCCCACTGAATGTAGATCAAAGTAAGAAATCCTTGTAAACATTCTACTAAAGGTATGGAGATATTTTGATCTATGAAACACCAACATGGCTGCACTCCTCAGGGACATTGCAGATCAAAAAGCCCAAGTCAAATCATGTGACATCTGGGAATAAAGTATTCTCAGTCACCTCCTGCCTCATAACCGCCTCCCCCCCATCTCACCCCAAACAAAATCAATTTTTAAAAAGTAAACTAAAAATGTTAAAAGTCAAAACACCCTTCTACTCCAAGTAGAGGTTTGACCACAAAAAGGGAGGGTGGCAGAGACTCCATGAAACCTACTAGAGATGTTGCCATTCCTATAGATTTTATTTGGAAGATGCCCAGATACTACAGTGGTGGGAAGCTGTATAAAACTCTAAGATAGGTAAATGGCTTGACAGACACAGACATTACTGATGCTCAGAGAGTAGTATTGCATAAAATTCCCTGGGTTTGCTGCATTCATTTTGGTTTGGTTATAACAGAATTTTTATAAAAATGTGTTACATTCAGGCCAAGATCATACATGTCTAGAATGATAGCAATGTAGGGCTGGAAGGGGCATCCTGGTCTGAGGCAGGACCAAGTAAATCTAGACCAGGAGTCGGCAACCTCTGGCACGTGGCTCGCCAGGGTAAGCACCCTGGTGGGACAGGCCAGTTTATTTACCTGCTGACATGGCAGGTTCGGCCGATCGCGGTCCCCACTGGCCGCGGTTCACTGTCCCAGGCCAATGGGGGCGGCGGGAACCCGCGGCCAGTACATCCCTCGCAAGCGCCACTTCTCGCCGCCCCTATTGGCCTGGGACGGTGAATCGCGGCCAGTGGGGGCCGTGATTGGCCGAACCTGCCATGTCAGCAGGTAAATAAACTGGCCCAGCCCGCCAGGGTAAGCACCCTGGTGAGCCGTGTGCCAGAGGTTGCCGTCCCCTGATCTAGACCATCCCTGACAGGTGTTTGTCCAGCCTGTTCTTGAAAACCTCCAATGACAGGAATCCCACCTCTCTTGGAAGCAAAGCTGAACTACCCTAATAATTAGAAAGCTTTTCTTAATATCTAACCTAAATCTCCCTTGCTGCAGATTAAGCCCATTACTTCTTGTCCTACCTTCACTAGACATGGAGAACAACTGATCACCATCCTCTTTATAACAGTAGTTGAAGACCATTATCAGCCTCCCCCTCCTTCCCCAGTCTTATGATCTCAAAACAAAATGTGCCCAGTTCCTCATTGGTGAAGTTTTCTAAACCTTTTATAATATGTGTTGCTCTCCTCTGGACTCTCCAATTTGTCCACGTCTTTCCTAAAGTATGGTGCCCAGAACTGAATTCAGTACTCCAGCTGAGGCCTCACCAGTGCTGAGTAGAGTGGGACAATTACCTCCCGTGTCTTACATAGGACACTCCTGTTAATATACCTCAAAATGATATTAGCCTTTTTTGCAACCGAATCACATTGTTGTCTTATATTCAATTTGTGATCCATTCTAACCCCCAGACTGTTTTCAGCAGTACTACCACCAATATTCCCTATTTTTTAGTTACGCATTTGGTTTTTCTCCCTCCTAAGTACAGTACTTTGCACTTGTCTTTATTGTATTTCATCTTGTTGATTTCAGACCAATTCTCTGATTTGTCAAGGGCATTTTGAATCCTAATTCTGTCCTCTCCTCACAGATTGGTCTCATCTCCAAATTTGATGAGCATACTCTCCACCCCATTATCAAAGTCATTAATGAAAATATTGACTAGTACTGGTCCCAGGACTGACTTTAGTGTGACCCCTCTGGATACACCCTCCCAGTCTGAGAGCAAACCATCAATAACTACTCTTTGAGTTGTGCACCTACCTCACAGTAATTTCATCTGGACTACATTTCCCTAGTTTGCTTATGAGAATGTCATGTGGGCCTGTGTCAAAAGCCTTACTAAAAATCAAGATATATCATCCCTACTGCCTCCCTGCTATCCTCTAGGCCAGTAACCCTGTCAAAGAAGGAAATTAGGTTGGTTTGGCATGATTTGTGCATGACAAATCCATGCTGGCTATTCCTTATACCCTATTATCCTCCAGGTACTTACAAACCAATTATTTATTAATTTGTTTCAGTATCCTTCCAGGTATCAAAGTTAGGTAGACTGGTCTCCCTCTGATAACTCATCAGAAAGATACTAAAATAGTAAAGACTAAACATGCCCAGGTTTTTGAACCTTTCTTCATAGGTCAAGTTTTCTATTCCTTTTATCATTTGTGTTGCTCCCATCTTAGAAAAGAGACAACTAAGGGGCAATATGATAGAAGTCTATAAAATCATGAACGATATGAAAAAAGGGAATAAGGAATGTTATTTACCCCTTCACATAATACAAGAACTATGAGTCACTCAATGAAGTTAATAGGCAGCAAGTTTACTACAACCATAAGGAAGAAGTTCTTCACACAACGCACAGTTAACCTGTGGATCTCATTGCTGGGTGATGTTGTGAAGGCCAAAAATGTAACTGGTTCAACAAAGAATTAGATAAGTTCATGGAGGATAAGTCCATCAATGGCTACTTGCCAAAATGGTCGGGGACACAACCCCAGCTCCGTAAGTCACAAAACCTCTGACTTCCAGAAGCTGGGACTGGACAACAAGGAATGGATCACTCGATAATTCTCCTGTTCTATTAATTCCATCCCAAGCATTTGGCTCCAGCCACATGCTGAACAGGACACTGGGCTAGATTGACATTGGTCTGACCCAGTATGGCTGTTCTTAATGTCCTGAACTGGAGAGAGTCCAGAGGAACTGGAGAAGAAAGTTAAAACAAAAACTCCGCTTGTAATCACACCATGATTGTTCCCCTCACTGAACATGCTTCAGAATGTTCAGGCTTCAGCAGCAGTTACTGAGTTTGGTAGCCAAACTGCATCCTGACAGAAGCTAAGCCTGAACTGTTTTCACAATGGGAAGATGCTAAGTAAGCGGATGAAGAGCAGCAATGGGCAAATAAATAGATATAAAAGACAAGGGCCATATTTAGTCCTAGTTTAAGGTGTAACTACTTCAGCCTACAATACAAAGATTTGGTCCGTACAGTACAAAAGAATTCCACCTTTGAGTCTTGCTGAGCAGTGTAGGAAACAGTAGCAATATTTTAATCATTACAGTCTTTTCATTATGAAACAAACCATGTGGGAGTTTCAAAATTAGGATTAAATTCATACTAGGTGTTAATAAGTGAAACTCCACTGAAATGTATAGTTATCCCAGGGTGGATTTTTGCTAATTTAATCTAATATAGATAGTTTACTGACTACAACAAAGAAAATGTAAAAGGGAACTTTTCTACCTTCTCTATGTGTCTTGTAAGAAATTAGAAGGTTTGTTTGTGTCTTATCAACTGGGTGGGTTCTTGCTCTGTATAGATAACAGGGCAAAACAAAACAGACTCATGTGTAACTTACTACCCAGGTGAAGACCTCCCTAGTAAAACTGAATAGGGAGGATAGAAATTTACTAACAGAATTAGCCAACCAGCAATTCCAAGGCCAGAAGATGCGGATAAGTAAGAACATAAGAATGGCTCTACTGGGTCAGACCAAAGGTCCATCCAGCCCAGCATCCCGTCTTCCAACAATGGCCAGTGCCAGGTGCCCCAGAGGAAATGAAGAGAACAGGTAATCTGCAAGTGATCCATCCCCTGTTGCTCATTCCCAGCTTCTGGCAAACAGAGACTAGGGACACCATTCCTGCCCATCCTGGCTAATAGCCATTGATGGACCCATCCTCCATGAATTTATCTAGCTCTTTTTTGAACCCTGTTATGGTTTACATATGGTCTACACCAGTCATGATTTTATAGACCTCAATCATATCTCCCCTTAGCCATCTCTTTTCCAAGTTGAAAAGTCCCAGTCTTATTAATCTCTCCTCATAGGGAAGCCTTTCCATACCCCTAATCATTTTTGTTGCCCTTTTCTGAACCTTTTCCAATTACAATATATCTTTTTTGAGATGGGCGACCACATCTGCACACAGTATTCAAGATGTGGGCGTACCATGGATTTATATAGCAGCAACATGATATTTTCTGTCCTATTATTTATCCCTTTCTTAATTATTCCCAGCATTCTGTTCACTTTTTTGACTGCTGCTGCACATTGAGAGGATGTTTTCAGAGAACTACCCACAATGACTCCAAGATCTCTTTTTTGAGTGGTAACAACTACTTTAGACCACATCATTTTATATGTATAGTTGGGATTATGCTTTCCAATGTGCATTACTTTGCATTTATCAACATTAAATTTCATCTGCCATTTTGGTGCCCAGTCACCCAGTTTTGGGAGATCCTTTTGCTCTTCACAGTCTGCCTGGGTCTTAACTATCTTTAGTAATTTTGTATCATCTGCAAATTTTGCCACTTCACTGTTTACCCCTTTTTCCAGATCATTTATGAATATGTTGAATAGTACTGGTCCCAGAACAGACCCCTGGGGGACACCACTGTTTACCTCTCTCCATTCTGAAAACTGACCATTTATTCCTACCCTTTGTTTCCTATCTTTTAACCAGTTACCAATCCATGAGACCACCTTCCCTCTTATCCCGTGGCAGCTTACTTTGCTTAAGAGCCTTTGGTGAGGGACCTTTTTTGGTGTGACAATTGTTGTAAGAAATAATGGAATACATGAAAGCAATGAAAATACAGCTGGATTGAATAAGAAGGAGGATAGTAATGGCTAAAAAAAATAGTTAAGGAGGTATGAATTAGAGTTTTAACATGATATGTAAAAATGTATCAGTTAAGAGGATTTCGGATTAGTGTATATGAAAATATGCTTAGAATAGAATGTTTATAGATGAGGTAGTTTTAATAATCTTCACCTGTGTAATGTTATGAAACAAGGTATAGAGGATGTGTTTAATAAAGGGGGGTGGAGCAAGGTAGCATTTACACCAGCTCGGACCATGGATCTGCTGATGACAAAAACAGCCTACCTGCACCCCAGACTTGGTAACTGATGATTATGCTATCCTCATATTTGCTTTACTTAAGATTTATGCTTGATCAAGATGGTAATATATTGTCCTAAAATGTTCCTACTAAAGCTTTAAATTAGTTAAGCTTAATAATTGGTATGGACTGCACTTTTTCACCCAACAATGTAGATGCACATCTCAAGCTAGATGTTAATTTTTCAGACCTACTTAAAAGTGCAATGGCTGGAATCAAACTAATGTATGAGTCACTAAATTGTTTGATTGCTGGATTTCTCTTTTCATAGCAGAAATGACACAAATATTGGTGACCGACATAATACAAAAAAATCAGGCAATAATATTTTCTACACCGAGCCATGAATCTGCTGTAGAAAGTGTCTTCCGCTACAATTTATAGATGCATAGATTTTTGAAGCCAGAAATGACGACTGTGATCATCTAGTTTCAGTGACACTCATACATTAGACCTCCTCTCCAAAGTCAATATTAAAAGCAGTTTTCGTGAACAGACCAACGGTTATTATCTATACTTGCAGCACAGAGTTCACTGGAGGATTTTGTACCCAGACTTGGAACACTCTTCAGAACAGGAAAGTACTGCACCACAAAAGCTCTGCTATTTCAAAAGCTGTGCTCTTTCTGGATGCCAACTGATCAGCTTTCCATATAACCCAAATTAAGAAACCAGTAAGAAAAGGAAAGACATATGCAGGGGTCTGAACTCAATGACCTCTTGAAGTCCCTTCCAGTCCTAGGATTCTAAGATTCTATATGATATGATTCTATGAGCTGTGATTACAGCACTTCATAAAGAGTCCAAGAGAACATTTTCTGAAAGTCGTCAGAAGAAAACCTCATGTCCAATCCTAAAAGGTGCAGATGCTGCACTCTTTCAACTCCCATTGACGCTGATGGGTGCTGAAGACGTTCAGAACCTGGCAGGTCTGGGCCCAAAGATTTTGGCATGATTCACATAAAAATGACCTCCCAAAGATGACATATAGTATAGCATCACAGGAGCAATAATCATGTATAAAAAAGGATTTGCTCAACAGCTCCTATCAAGGAGGAAAACAGCTTTTTCGATTGCCCATAGTTACAAAATGATATTTATTTCTCACTTCAACTTTCTAGAATTTGCCAAAATGCAAAGGCTTTATTTAACATACTTGTTTTCATTAGGTTCTCTAGTTTGGCTGTTGGAGGCATAAAGAGAGTAATGTCTAAATTAGTCTAGTTTCTGTTTTGTTTAACTGCAAAATGATAGTAGTATTATGAATTTACCCTTTGAACCAGAAACCTTAAATATGCCTGATACAGAGAATTCAGTCAGCTTTGATTTTCTTTACATTCCTGACAGAGGGTCTGATTCTGCAACACGTCCTCACAGTGGAGAGCACTCAAGTGGAGGAGCAAAGCCACAGAGAAAGCTCCAGTGGATCTAAGCCTTTTTACTCACCTACCTACAGTATTTATGTTAATAGCAATAATAATTGGAAGACAAAGCTGCTAAATAGGATGCCCCCTTTCTCGCTCTGTACAAAACCTTGTCCCGCTCTGTAAAGAAAACAACCATATAGTCAATAGGTCATGAAAAAAGTAGGCAGGAAAATTAGAGACGTGTTTCCCTTTTCACAATATCCTATGTCTATGTAAGGAGTTGGGTGGAGCCACTTCCTGCCCTCCTTAAGATCCTTGGCCCAGATCCACAAAGGGACTCGGGCATTGGGCTTTAGGCACTTAAGTCCCTTTGTGGATCTAGCCCTTTATGGATTTAGGCTGGGTAGGCAATAGCTCCTGAATCTGAAAGACTGAGGAATCTGCCACCAGGAACTCTACGGAGTCTTCAGGGAAAAGACAACTGGCTCTCGGAGCAGCTTGTTAGGTGGAGAAAGTCGAGACATTGCTATTCTTTCAAAAAAAATCCATATGGCTCTAATCAAGTCAAATCTTTATATATCTCTAATGACAGTGATGCAGTACTTTTGTATTAATAACAATATAAATATACATTTTTTCATTTTTATTTTAAAAACACATGCAGTTACTTACCTTTTACCTTATGACTTTCCACAGATACTGTAAAATAAATGAATATATTCTAAGAAACAAACTTTACAATGTGTACAAACAACATTTGTCCCTTGCTAAGATATTCTCATTGTACATGGTTAAAATCTACAGAAAGCCGGGCTAGCCAGTAAGGTATATATGGAGCTTGAAAAGTTCCACTTATTTCAGCAAGCATGTACAGTACGCATGGAAAACTGGCTTACTCTAACTGGTGGTTAGTAGCATTTGTCTCAGTTCAGCTGAAAAATTTATGTGCAGCAGATGAAAAATAGCATTCTAATACTGACAAACACAATGAAGTCTAGATACAAAAGTAGTATTGAAAATATCACGTATTCAGTCTAATTTACGTACCAGTGTTTGATATTTAATTATTGGATGATATTTCTTTCTAAAGCATCATTGATCAAAAAATCATAATTCTCATTTCCTCATTATTAAGTTCTTCATATTTATTGACTACTGGGATGGGTTTACATGCCTCACCCTATGGTAGGGAGAAGGTAATATTTCCCTAAGTAGGCTAGCTAGCACAGGTGTTAGTGCTAATTGGAAAGATTGCCAGGAAACCTCATCTAGAGACACTGGATTCACCTAGAAAATGGGCCATCAAGCAGGTCTATAAGAAGAGTTAAGGCAGTGTTTTGGCAGATCTGAGAAATGGATCTAGCCTGAAATCAGAGGAGAGTCTGGCTGCAAGAAGCCTTTTTGTCTTCTCTATTTAAATGAAGTCTGGTTGGAGGAAATAATTTGGTTTGGATGTTTGAAGGAAGAGGGGGAAAAAACCCTGATACACTGTGTCTTCTTCTTCCAGTCTCAATGTATTTGAATCCCAGAGCCAGACTTCCTTCCTCCCTTGGAGAAAAAAAAGTGAGGAAGCTGAAATCAAAATCTAACATTCAAAAGAATAATGGTGTCCTGCTTAGCTTCACATAGTTGGCTCTCAAGTACAACAGAATGGCTAGGTTATCATGCTCCATAGCCATTCTAATAAATTTGAGTAAATTGGCAAATTTGTTCTCTTCTTGTACAGTGCAGTTCCCATCCTTTCCCCTAATGGTGACTTGAGTTAAATTAGGTTTAAGTTTAAATTAAGGAAATGAGACTCTAAAATAGACTTTTACAGGTTTTACCAGGTACTTTTAGAGCTACTGCAGGTATTTCCTTCTTCAGTGGTTTGGCTGGAACAAATAAGAAAAGGTTGGTGATTACAATGTGGGAGTTGTCACTAAAACATTCAGTAGCTCAGATGAAAAATAAAACTAAAAAATCGGAGCTATTTACCAGTTTCCACCAGCTTTTCCTTCTTGGGGGGTGATTCTGAAAATTAAAAAAGAAAAATATTTTGGCTCTACTTTTGGTAATGCTGTTAAGTACACTCCTCCTAAAACGTATTTTTCGTGCCGTGATCAGACACTGCTGAGCTAATGGAGTTAGATTAAATGCTAATACCGGATAGCTAAAAGATAATTCCACAGTCATATTGTTAGGTGATGAAAGGAAATGTTAATAGCAATTAAACAGCAAACATGTTTAGACTTACTCTTGATCATCTGACAATCTAAGACCATGGTTCCCAACCTTTTCCACACTAAGATTCTCCCAGAACACCACTCCGACAACCTCCTCCTCAGAACCACTTATAGCCACACTGCAAAGATTCAAGGCATAGCCAACCAGGGAGAGGGGAAAGAGATGGAAATGTCTAATTGAAATGGTAAATTCCCTATTATCATTGGCTAAAATTCATAATAAATAAGAAGAGGGATGAGTTAATGCTGATTGCAAATAAAGTAAATATTTCACAAGACAAGCAAACCAAACTCTTTCTTTCTTTCTTTTTTTTTTTTTTTTTGGAAGGGGGGCTGGAGGGGACGAAGGAAAAAGGAAGAATGGAGACTGGAAGACAGTTACTTTGGCTGATTTAACCACTCATCTCAGTAACATCTGCAACATTGCAGCACGTTCATGTTTTATATAGCATAAGTGCTCCTCCAGAGTTCATTTATATATATATATAAACACATTTTGTAAACCTTTTTTTTCCCGCTTATGCTTGCTTCTCTGAAACTGAAGAATATCTAATAATGGTTTCTTTGACTCCAGGGGCATCTGACTGCTTCCTGTTTTTCCACAGTCTCCCAACCCTTAGACAAGGGAAGCAGGGGTAGAACTTGTGTGACACTACCAACTTTCACTTTAAGCACTTTTGTACGACCTAAAATTTAATTTTCATTAAGCAAATTCAACAAGGTTCTTCCAGAAACATATGAAATCCAATTTACAAATATCTTCAACTTTCCACAGGGAAGTTTTTATTCAATAATTAACAGAAATAGTTAGGAAGTTTGGATCAGAATCTGAATTTATGGCTGACTTACATCTACTCTGCTATCATAATGGGGTACACCAAAAACTTAGATCCCAACAACCACAAGCTTTGAGAAAATTCAGATCTGGATCTTGCCTTTATGGCTCAGGCCACTTCCACTAATTTAGAAGAATTATCTTCTATTAATTAATGGTCAATCTGACACAACAGAGGATTTTGTCCTATTGTACAATATACATGTTAGACACTTGCCATAGCCTTTGTAAGACTTTTAAGAGTAAGAGTTGTGCATGTATTCATAAGAATTTATTAATTTATTAGCCAGGCCAAAAATATCTTTATCCAGGGCACAGCCTGTGGCTGAGAACAAATAAATATTCTATCATATGTGCAATTGAGATTTTTTTCAAGTCTGAAATTTCACCATATGCTACACACTCTGAAGTTCTCACAAAAACATTTTTTGCCTTTGTGAAAACTAGTAAAATATTTATTAATTGTTCATGAAACCACCTAAATGCAATTTTTGTTTTGCTGATAGTGATGCTGATTGTGATGCGATCACTGAGGAGATGGGAGACAGAAGAGAATCTCTGAGGTTATTTTTTATGCCACTCCATTTCTTAATCTGCAAGTGGTGCTGAAAAGCATTGAAGCTGGCATATTCCTGCAGTGTACCTTAGATCTTCCCCAGCAGCAAGGTAATTCTCAAACCGTGACCTTCTCTCACCTGCTATCTTTGGAACAGTCACATGTTTCCATTTTGATTCTCTGTCTCTCTCTCATGACATATAGGACTTTCAATTAATTCAGATGAAGTATTCTAATCTTAAAGCAGTAGTGTGAGTAAGTGAAATTCATGTGAAACCAGTGAGAAAGTTGAACTTCCATTAAATTGCCTATCGTTTCCACTGTGTTCACTGTTCTATAATATAAACTATAGTATAATCAATGTCATTAGGTTATATTCATTACAGTTAAGGGAAATAGATTTCTGTACTAGAATCCTCAATTTCTGATACAAGGATTTTAATAAATCCTATTTTACATTCACTAAAACACAGAACTGCCAAATCCTGTGCAGTATGTCGAACACTGCAAATCCTTAGGTTGGGAAGCTAATAGTGTTGCATCTTTTTGTTTGTTTGCCTGCAATCTTCCTATTGGCTTGTTCAAGTTATAGAGAGGTTCATTACAAGAATTTGTTACCCCATATTTCTTCAATTTCTAAAGATCATGAATATAGGATGCTGATTCCTTTGTTTTCTGAAATAAGAAACTCAGGGTGGGAAAAAATCTCCTCCCCTACTAAGGTTTTGGCACCAACTTTATAGTTTCCTGTTTGTAAATGAAAGCTGACTTTCATTCGTAGCAGTTTCTCTTCAGAACGATCACTGAAAAGAGATGGAGAAGGAAGAATGGGTTTTGGCATATCCTAAGACTGGAAACACATGCCTATGATTGGCAATCTCCAGGATTCATTAATCTGAAGAGATTTCCTGCCATGCCTGAAATAATTGCGGTACAGATTCTTCAGAGGAATACAGATGCTAACAAAACTGTTTCAAGGTCCTTTGGCAAGCTTACAAAACTCCTGCTTTGCCTGGCCTGCAGGAAATGATGGCCACACATCTGGTCTGGTCTACATGATAGAATCATAGAATCATAGAATATTAGGGCTGGAAGAGACCTCAGGAGGTCATCTAGTCCAAACCCCTGCTCAAAGCTGCTGCCCTGCTCATCACTGTAAGGTTTATCAGGATGACTGGATTTGAATCCCTCAATGAAATGGAACCGACCCCCCCAGCCCGCACTGCCCCAAGAAAAAAGCTAATACTGACCCGTCTGATATCAAAAGCACGAATGCTTCTGCAAAAAAAAAAAAAAAGGGACGGCTTAAACCTAGAGAAGAAGTGGTGATCTGGGCACCTTCAACTTCTCTGAGGTCTCATCAGTTCTTGAGTGGACAAGGTCAGTTACCTCAAATGGCAGGCCAAGTACCTATGCCTTCTGATTCTTCCCATATAGCTCTATGTCAACTCTAAGACAGAATTTCATAAGGAAAAGTGTCCATTTACCAAAGACTGGGATGCTGCAAAATCCATGTCATAACAGGCACTTGAGGAGCATTTTGCAACCCCTTCATTTTCTTTTTAGGAGGAGCTGCAGAGGGATCTGTGGTGTATTTCCAGCCCTTTGAGGCCCTGACTTAGAACTCTTCAGAACCAATCATTTCTATTGCTGCCTTGATGGGCTTGGGGACAATTTATTGGATTTAGAAAAATCTTCCAGCGCTGTAGCCACCTGTTTTGAACCCACAATGTCTTCTGGAAGACGGCTTTGCTTAGGTCCATGTGGCTTATAAAACCTTTCATATAGGATTTATTACAAGGAAGGCTTAGATTCTACAGAATCTTTCAGGTCATGGTGTAAACGCTGCACAAGCAGCACACCTCTTTGACATGTGAGTAGTGACCTTTACCTCAGGAACTTTAAACACTGGTCTGAAAAAGAGATTTCTGTGGGACGAGGAAGTCCCTCTTAAACCCTGGTTTCTGCACATCATCTGCCATGTGAAGACACGATGAGCAGATTAACTATCAATTCTACAGGAAAAACAATTAATCATAAAAAGTAATGATTAAAGCTGCTTCAGAAAAAAATACATTTGAAAATTAACAAATGTAACAAGAAACCTAGCATTAAACTCTCAGAGAGGAGGGCTTACCACTCAGGCCAGCAGAAAGAGAAGGAATGAGGAACAGTAAGGGTTAGAGACTGTTATTAGAGCTGGATGGGAAATCATTTTCCTGTCCCATGAGAATTTTCAAGATATTAATTTTTTTCTCCAATCTGATTCAAGCTGAAAAGTCAAAATCTCAAAAATTTGAGAACCAATCATCCAATTTTTATTTTTAGATTTTGATGATTTCAAAACATTATGTTTCAATTTCAACCTTTAATTAAAAAATAGAGTTATTGAATCAGAGAAAAGTTGGGCTGGAAGAGACTTCAATAGGTCATCTAGTCCATCCCTCTACACAGAGGCAGGACTATCCTTGATAGAGGCTTGTCTAATCTGTTCTTAAAAACAATTATGATGATTCCACAACCCGCCTAGATAACCTGTTCCCGTGCTTAATGGTCATCAAAACTCACCCTCTCTCATGAACAGGTTTGGTTACAATGAATCTGCATTTTCTGATGAAAAAAGGTTTTGTTGGAAAATTCCTGATCAGTTCTAGTTTTTTAATACTTTGGTTCATTGGCTCCAGACCACTAGATTCAAAGGGCATGTACATGATCTCCTAATGGTTAAATACGCAGAGAGGGTTCTGTAGCTGCATAGCAGGGCACACAACTCCTACAGAATTTCTCAGCAAGGGCAAAGACATGAAGGACACTATCAAACCAACAAAAAGCATCAGGAGAAGTGTGCAGCTCTGACAGTCAAAAAAATGCTGGAAGCATTCTAGTCTGTGCAACAAAATACAGCATGTCAGCAACAGCTATTTCTGAATATTTAAAGCTCTCAACTTGGGCATTCAAAAATTATGCAGGAACTGTTATGTAAGAGCAAAATGCTGTGCATTATTTGTGGGCACCTTGAAAGAGAAGAAGATAGATTTTGCACAGTATATTGCAAAGAACTTGTTTGGTACATATGTCATTGGGCTCAACTTTAAAACCAAAAGTTAAACTCTTAATATATAAAAGTAAGGGATTTAACATTAAAAGAGCACTGAAGTATGATGAACTGATGAAGGTAAAGTTTAAATAATGTCACAAAGCAAGGGAAACACACACACACACACAAAATGAGATTTGCTACAAACTGGCTCAAAAAAATCTATCAGCTACTAGAAATCATAATAAATTCAACATGTGCATTCTGTAATTTCTTATAGAAAAATCTACTGCATCCCCGCCACTTTTGACCCCGTTTCTGCTCCTGCTCCCATTTAAGTCAAATGAAATTTTGCTAGTGATCTTAACAGTGCATGATTGGACCCATTTATTCCTCTGCAAACTGCTTATTCAATTTAATACAAGCTCAGCACAGGTAGCATTAACAGCAGATGCACTGCCTGAGACGTCAGTCACACAGTAGGTATGCCTTATGGCCCCGATTCAGCAAAATACTTAACACATCCTTAAATGCTTTGCCGAAGAGGGATGCACTTAAACATGTTCCTAAGTGTTTTGCTGAACTGGCCCCCAAAACATTACAAATCAACAATTAATTGTGAATATTTGCAGTGCTTTTATAGTTTGTCAGCTACTAGGCAAGCCCCTTAAAAAGCCTTTCACATAAAGAGCAGACATTTTTAAAAGTCATTTAAATCAAACTCCCAATTAACTATCATTTAGCTTAGATATAGTTCTCTCATCACTGTGGCTAGCAAAGATAAAAGCCCGACTTCTCTAACAGTTAGCATGCTCCCCCTGCCTTGTTCTTGAAGGAATGTCATAATCCAGTATTAGTAACACAACAATACTTCCAATGTATTGAATAGTTATGTCAAATGCTAGACTAGGACAGGCATGCAAGAATCAGTGGTATTTATAAAGGGGTAAGATTCTATTTTAGTATAGATATCTTCACAATCAGAAATAGCGCAATAGGAATTATTGAAAATTAATTTTAAAAATGAATTTTGTTGAAATATATTTTAAAGTATGGGTGAATATGGTGGTACCTTGCTTCAGAATAAGCCATAACATGCTAAGTGGATGAGTGTTTCAGAATCCTAGCAAAAGTGATTAAATGTCTTGAATTATATTTTTTTAAAGAAGTCTATCATAAGTTAGAAGAATAAGAATTGTATGTCACATTAGCGAACTAAATTGCTCTGAGAAAAATCATGTTACATGTCATTAAAAAAACCTATGTTTAAAGATTTTAAGGTTCTAAAGTGAAGCATTCAAAACTTGGAAGATGAAAAAAAATTGCCTTTGCAACCTTAATTCTGCCCCCTTGTGTGTATACATTATGATACAGATCACACACTAATTTTTCCTTTCCTATTCAGAGTCAGATCATGGCCCACCATATATCTGCCCACAGAGGCATAAGGGGATTGAGAGCTAAGCTTCTGCATAGCCTCCCAGACCTACTCCTTCTCCCAAGAGCAGTTAGGTAGGGACTGGGCAGAGCCTTGACTCCACCCCCCAATATGTCAGTCAGCACAGTTTCTTCCATGTGCTGCTTCAAGCATGCAGTAGCTACACAAGAAGGCGATAAGGTCCTGCACAAGAGATGTAGCGATGTTGACTGAGTAAAAAAAAGAAAAAAAAAGACAGCTCTTGGAAGTGTTATGGTAAGAAATGGTAAGATTAGAATACAGTCTTAACAGGTGGCTCTATAGCGCCACCTGCTGATGGTTGACCTGAAAAATCACTGAAATATTTGTACCTCTCATACATACACTTACATTATTCCTGTGATTTAAAAAAGAAATAGATCTTAACATTTAATGGTAGTCATGTTTTATCAATGCTTTTAAGCATTTCCCATACCTCTTAATAATTTCCTATAGCAGAACATATTTGTTAGTGCTCAGATATTTAAAGAACATTTTTTCCCTTCAAAGCATATTTTGTAGTCCCATAAACTTTGTTTATTTGCTACATTTCTTCCCTTTTACAGGTGAAAATGACTTGCAAAGATATATTTTCTTACCTTCTGCTGTTTTAGCTGCTGCTGGTGTCTTGGAAACTAAAAAGAAAATAATTATGTAGCTATAATCAGTCAACAGTTGAGCTTTGGACAACAATCACTTCTACAACTGCTAGAAGAGGGCCTCACCCTCCCTGATTGAACTAACCTCGTTATCTCCAGACTGATTCTTGCCTGCATATTTATACCTGCCTCTGGAAATTTCCATTACATGCATCTGATGAAGTGGGTATTCACTCACAAATTGGGTGAGATAATTAAAGTGAAGTAGTTAAAATTCAAATGAATATTTTGGTTTTCATACTTCTTGCAGTTTTCACTTGAAAATCCCCATGTCGTTGTTGTTGTAACGTAACTCAAAAAAGTGAATACTGAAAAAATACCTGGTTTGGTGGTAGTTTTATTAGGTTTTAATAATTTAAACTGAAACCCCAAACTCCAGGTGTAGTGTTTAGAAATGGGCATGAAATAAAACCTAAGCATTCCAAATGTGTGGGTTTTTAACATCCAGCCTGGATTCTGTGGAAGCAGAGAAAGAACTGACAGGAAGGGGATTGCAATGCATGACAGTTTGTTAGCTAGAGTCAGGCTAACTGTAACCCTAATAATGCGAGATTTGTAGAAGCGAGGATGTGTGAGGCGAGTGGGAAAGAACTGTGTGAGAAGTTGTTTCGACCTTGTGGAGATAATGTGTAGATAATGTGTAAACAAGATGGAATGCAGACTGAGAGTCTACATTAGTGAGAAAAACAAGATATCAGAATGACCTATGTATAAACAAAATGCTGCGGTTGCTTTTCATTGTCTGTATCAAAAGGTATAAATGCTTGCTGTAATTGTTTACCTAAGAAGAGACCTGCCTAGGAGGGGGAGACCCTGTGTCTTAGTGCACTCTCTTCCTTTACACAGCTGTTAAAGAGAATAAAGTATCTGACTTTGCTGTACCCAAAGAGTGAGAACTGTGTTATTCTCCGACAATTCAGATATGAATTTTGTCCAAAATTTTAAAAGCTGGGTGCCTAACTTTGGGTTCCTAAATTCATATTTAGGCACCTAAATAAATGGATTGGTTTTCAAAAAGTTCTGAGCACCCAGCAGCTCCTGTTGCTGTTTGTGGCAACTGTTGGTGATGAGCACTTTTTAAAAATTAGACTACACTTTTAGGTGCTTAAACATGGATTCAGGAGCCCAACTTTTTGAGCCTATTGTTCAAAGTAGCTTTTCAAGTAGCCTTTATTTTATGATGAATTGCTCCAAAAACCTGAATTCACTATCTCTGGTCTTTGGCTTTTCACATCCTATATTCTGATCCAGATCTACTTTCTAGGCTTCCGCCCATTTCTCTAATGCTGCTAAAAATACATCCTTGCAATTTTGTAGCTGCCATGAGAAACTCAAGATATTCTTGCAAGTTTCAGAGCACTGCTGAAGTAGGTATCAAAGGCCATTAGATCTTAGTGTCTTAGGAAACCTGACCTATGCAAAATACCCTGTTCTCTTTAGAGAATTCACATACATAGTGTCACAGCAACAACATACGGTAATATCTTTTAGATAAAACAGACTACATCAGTGACCTTTTGTATAATCCAGTAGATGGTGCTATGATGCAATAAACAAGCTTTACAAATATGTGAAATACACTGAAAATAGAAGAGAGAAGGTTATTCTTTATCCTTTACCTGGTGCTGCTACTTTTATAGTGGCTGGTTTGACTGCAGGAGCTTTTGCTGTCTCTTAAAGAGAGCAAATTAAATAAATTACTGTGAAGTGTTATAGCATGAAAATACAGAAGTATAAAGGAAGTCTACAAATGAAAAATATAGCCCTGGGTATATTTCTTAGTGAAGAATGAAGAAAAGAGATTATCAGAACAATAGAAGTGCCCAGACACACTCCACCAATTCAAAGGCATGAAAACAATCATCAAAAATGTTTTTTTAGAGTAATTACTATCATGAGCCAGTGGCTTTCTTCTTCCCACGCTGAAGAGTGATCCTGGAGCCACTGCTTGGTTGCTACTGCATTAGACCCTGCAGCTGCTGAGTCTGTCTACACAGAGGAGCAAGGCCAGTCAATCCATGTAACTGCAGTTCCCCTGGTCTTGTTCCTCTCATAGCATACGGACAAACTCTCTCTGGGCTGGGGCAAAGGAACCCCCCATAGAGCATAGTTCAAAGTTGTGAAAGGAAAGGGAACCTCTAGAGGAGTTCCAATAATCTTGTCCAAACTCTGCATAAAAGAACCATACTGAGTCCACTGGGTTCATCCACTGTGTACTAGAGTTTAGTTAATCCTTTGCATCCTTAGCAACTGCTAGAACAGACTGTGCTAAACCAAGATAATTTAACAAATAGTCATAAGCCAAAGTGTACTGGTTTTCCTAACAGAATTTGGTTTGTCAACTAAAACAATATATATATTCTCTGATTTGCAATTCACATTTTCATATTGCAAAAGGAAATAATTAATTTTAATCATAATCTGAATTACAGAATGCCAACAAAATGTTAGTTAATCCTTCACATCTGTCACAATGTTATTAAAAAGAAAAAAAAACTACTGCTAAATCAGAAATTTAATTTCCAGTTCTTCCCCTCTAGTATATTGAGAAGTTCATGAAAGATGCATCAGAATGTCTTGTAAAACATAATGAAAACAAAATATAAAGTTTAACACGTGTGGGATTGGTTTGTTTGTATCCATTTGAAACTATGCAGTAAATTAGTACTAGAAGAGCACTATAATTACTCTGGGGGACTCATTCCTCCTTTATTAAGAATTATAGGAGGAGACCTTGTAATACGGTTTTCTTAGCATTTCTACCTGGGTCCCCACCCCTGCAAAAGAAGAGGAGGTTCAATCCACAAACCCTACTGATCTCCGGGATTCACTAGAATTATAGGGCCTCCCCATTGGCTCTGATGACGTCTTTGCTCTCCCTCCAATTCTCAGGCAATGCAGCTCCATTGGCGCCTGGCTGCCAAGACATCCCTACCGGCAGCTGCCTCTGGAATGACTTGTTAAGTTGATTCCCAAGTCAGAGGGACTATGTGCTGTAGCAAGGCACCTCCTCCATCTCACCAGGCTCAGCGCTTCCCCCTCTGGCAGCGAGGGCCTCCCATGCCAGATGGTGTTTATTTTTCCACTTGGGGTTTATTTCCCAATATTTTCTAGGAAGGCCTTGGGGCCAGCCCAGGAGCACTCCTCCGCCAAACAAAAAGAAGCAAATTCACAACATAAAACAAAGGGAGATACTTTTTCCTACCTCTTCCCTGGGGGCATGTGCAAGGGTGCTGGAACTAAGGCTGCTGGGGACACCGCAGCATCCCATGGCTTGAAGTGGTTTCCATCATATACAGGGTTTACAGTTTTGTTCAATGGCTCTCAGCCCCCCCACTATAGAAATTGTTCCAACGTCAGTAGGCATGTGGCCTGGTTATTGGCCTCAGGGTGCCAGTCCTCCCCCTAAACAGGCAGTGAGTTATGTAAGTTCCCCTATAGGGAGGAGAGCAGCCTTCCACCCTGGAGAAGCCTTTCTTCCAGCTGACACTAGCCCTGCACAGTAGCGTAGCTGGGGGGGAACAGGGAGACCGCCTGCTCCCCCGAGCCCAGAATTCCCCAAGTGGTGCCTTTTCCAGCGCCGCTCCATCTTTCGGTGGCCCTGCGCATGCACTGCTCCGTCTTTCGGCAGCATTTCGGCCTTTTTTCTCCGCCGCTCCTCCTCAGCAGCCTTTTTTCTCCGCCGCTCCTCCTTGGCAGCAACCCTGGCTACGCCACTGGCCCTGCAGCAACTTGTCACTCCTCCGACCGCCTCTCTCACTGGAGTTGGGGTTTTAAAGGTGTCAGGCAGCCCTTAATTGGACTCAGGTGTCCCTAGTTGACCTGAGGTACCTCTTTTCAGCTTATAGGGAAAAGAACCTTTATCGTTCTAGACCTAATATACCTCCCTTCCACCACTGTCTTACGGCTGTCCAGCCTGATTTCGTTACAGTGAAAAAAGTAATACAGCAAATAGGCACATGAGTAGTTTTACTCCTGTGAGTCATCTCATTGATTCAATAGGATAATTCGTATGAGTAACGTTACCCACATGCCTTGCTATTTGTAGGATTGGACTCTTGGTTTATATTATCTGATCAGTTTTCATGCCAGGCTTGGGCGGGATGATGATGCATAGGCCCTTCTCAAAGCATGGATCTTGAATCCCAATGGAGATACTTCCCTAAGGTGCTGGGAAGATGGGAGAATTTTGCTGCAGAGATGGTTGAAACCCCTTCAAAATAGCCCAGAAAAGATCAGGCATGGATCTGAGAGACTGGTCAGCACCCCCAAAACCGTGGGTATCCATGAAATTTTTACTCATAGGTAGCATTTGAGCCAAGGGTGATCCTTCAGAGATTAACATATTCCATAATCTTTAAAAATATACCACACATTCAACACAAAGAATTTGATCACTTGAAGTCTGACCTCTATAATGATGTATGGTAAGTGTGTTAACTATGGGGGAGCACTACTGGTTACAAGCATGTAGAAATAAAGGTTCCCGGGCTACCGAGTTGACTATGCTGTTTTCTTGAAAATATTGTTTTGAGATCATTGCGCACTCAGAAATCCTTCTGTGGGACTTTTAGGTACACAAGGAATGCAAGGTTATGATCTATGGGGTTGTGAACAGGCACCATTTACTTGGCAATTTGAGAGTACTTGGGCATTTCTCCGGAAACCTATCAGCACATAAGCCTTCTCAGCCCTTCTACCAAGCTCACAGCCACTGAGAACACATTACAAACGAGATTATTTTTTACATTTCCTTCCCTGTGAAAACCTCTACTATTTTAGACATGTGATTTTAAAAAATGGGGGAGGCCGAACTGTCAGTCGCAAGGAAGAGCGTGGAATTAGAAATAGTGTGTGACTGGGTTTAGAAGGGAGGAGGCAGCTAAAGTTTAAACATGTAATTTTTCAATTATAAATGGTGAAGCTACTTTCTTCTTTGCATCTTCAACAATTTTAATAACCATTAATTGGGGACACTGAAACATGTTTAAAACAGCTTTATATGGAAAAAAATATCAAATCATGTAAGACATTCTTACTTTTAGGTTCTTTGGACATGACAGGTTCTTTCTTACCTTTAAAGTATTTTTTTTAAATTATAGTATATACACACAAATAGACAGACAGACAGACAGATAATTACAATAGAAGTGGCTGCCGTGGGGTTGAGTTGTTTGGATGTGCATTGAGATGAGTTACTTAGGGCCCTTTTCACAAGGAAGTTGCACTGGTTTAACGTCAGATGTAAATTTAAACTAAACCAGTGCAAAAAGTGGTGTGAACACAGTTATTTTTGGTTTAATTTAAGAACATGAATCTATTTAAGAGTAGGTAAAACCTGTTACTGATTTACTTAAACGAAATCAAAATAAGCCTGACCACGCAGTTTTTTGCACTAGTTTAACTAAACCTTAAGTTTGTCATACCTTTAGTTAAACTGGTGTAATTCTACACATAGATTATTAATGGTTCCCAATCCTGCTGGAAAGGCATAACAAGTGGGGTTCCGCAGGGGTCTGTTTTGGGACTGGCTCTGTTCAATATCTTCATTAACGACTTAGATATTGGCATAGAAAGTACGCTTATTAAGTTTGCGGATGATACCAAACTGGGAGGGATTGCAACTGCTTTGGAGGACAGGGTCATAATTCAAAATGATCTGGACAAATTGGAGAAATGGTCTGAGTTAAACAGGATGAAGTTTAACAAAGACAAATGCAAAGTGCTCCACTTAGGAAGAAAAAATCAGTTTCACACATACAGAATGGGAACAGACTGTCTAGGAAGGAGTACGGCAGAAAGGGATCTAGGGGTTATAGTGGACCACAAGCTAAATATGAGTCAACAGTGTGATGCTGTTGCAAAAAAAGCAAACATGATTCTGGGATGTATTAACAGGTGTGTTGTGAGCAAGACACGAGAAGTCATTCTTTCGCTCTACTCTGCTCTGGTTAGGCCTCAGCTGGAATATTGTGTCCAGTTTTGGGCACCGCATTTCAAGAAAGATGTGGAGAAATTGGAAAGGGTCCAGAGAAGAGCAACAAGAATGATTAAAGGTCTTGAGAACATGACCTATGGAGGAAGACTGAAAGAATTGGGTTTGTTTAGTTTGGAAAAGAGAAGACTGAGAGGAGACATGATAGCAGTTTTCAGGTATCTAAAAGGGTGTCATAAGGAGGAGGGAGAAAACTTGTTCACCTTAGCCTCTAAGGATAGAACAAGAAGCAATGGGCTTAAACTGCAGCAAGGGAGGTCTAGGGGTATGTCTACACCCAGCCGCTAGTTCGGCGGCTGGGAATCGAAGTTCTGGGTTCGACTTATCGCGTCTTATCTGGACGCGATAAGTCGAACCAGGAAGTGATCGCCGTCGACTGCGGTACTCCAGCTAGACAAGAGGAGTACCGCGGCGTCGACGGGGGAGCCTGCCTGCCGTGTGTGGACCGAGGTAAGTTCGAACTAAGGTACTTTGACTTCAGCTACGTTATTCACGTAGCTGAAGTTGCGTACCTTAGTTCGAATTGGGGGGTAAGTGTAGACCAAGCCTAGGTTGGACATTAGGAAAAAGTTCCTAACTGTCAGGGTGGTTAAACACTGGAATAAATTGCCTAGGGAGGATGTGGAATCTCCATCTCTGGAGATATTTAAGAGTAGGTTAGATAAATGTCTATCAGGGATGGTCTAGACAGTATTTGGTCCTGCCATGCGGGCAGGGGACTGGACTCGATGACCTCTCGAGGTCCCTTCCAGTCCTAGAATCTATGAATCTATGAATCTATAGATAAGATTTTATTCATGATGAGTGAGTAAAGGGAAGGTGTTGTGGGTTGATCTTTATGGTGTGTGAGAGAGCTGGGCAGAGAGGTATTTGGTGATAGGTGGCCTGATGGTTATAATTAACTTAACTACCTGCTTTCAGGATTTTTATTTGGGCACCCAGCTGTGGCAGTTACGTCCCATTGGCCACCTTATTGGTAACACTTAAATACCCTCTCTGCTACTTTAATTGGCACAGGCACCACGCTGTGACATATGAAACATGAAGAAACTGCTAGAGTGACAATGGGAAAATAGAGTGAGCTAGTATTTAGATTCTTAACATAAATAAATTATATATTAATTGCTTCCTTAAACACTAACACTAGAAATATTATTCCAGCATGAAAGCCATCAAAATAGAGTGAACTTCAAGCTGCAAAACAGGACTAGACCATTACTAACAACAATACAGAGTTGCCTGAGTTTAAATTGATGTCTCAATTGTCATCAGAAGGTTGATATGAGATAAGCTAACATCAATGACTGCCAAGCATTCTAATAAAATGTCTGAAAAATTCCAGGAGAAACACATTTATATTTGGGTGATATGCTGCTCTGAACCAAAATGTTTCTGGGTTAATCCTCTGCTTCCACTAACTTTCTCTGAAAACGTGTTTTGCAGGCATTACTTCAAAGCATGATAATTACCACATTTAGATGAAATTAATCATGAAGCAGCTTACAGCCATGTTATCTAGCTAAGGGGTCTACTGAAGCCTTTAAGAAGTGCCTAGCAGTTGCCAGATATGGAAATTTTAAAAGGTGTATATTGCAGTGATATGAATCATTTATCATAATAATCTGCCATTGCTATAGGTTATAAAAAAATAAACAAACTGGAAGCATCATTTACAACAACAGACGCGATCTAAATAAACCTCCAAGCTCTCTCTTTCATTTTTTCCATATAAGTCGTCATTTACTAGGCCAACATTCCTTAATATATTTTAGAGCAGCAAGTTACGGTTAAAGGCATTAATGTGTTTTCCCCCTCATCTTAAGTATGTAACAAATAGTAAAATTTAAGCTAATATCTAAATTGTTTTTCCATTCAGAAAATGTCACAATTTATTCTTATTTTTAAGAGCAGAAAAATTCACGATGGCTGATTTTAACAACATATAGCAATATAGAAGCAATACTGAAGCCAAGATTTTCAAACCAGGTAGCTTGAAGTTACACTCCTAAATCCATATTCAGGCACTTGGGTTGGGATTTTGAAAGTTAACGTGAGTTGGAGGCAAAATTCTCAAAAGGGATTTAGGCTCCTAAATCACATAGCTGCTTTTGAAAATTTTACCCTAGGAACCTAACTCCTGAAAATCCCAGTCCTAACTAAGTGGCCTAATTTTGCAAAGTGCTGAACACCCTACAGTTCCCACAGAAGTTTCTGAAAGTGCTCAGCAGTTTTGAAAATCAGGTCACTTATTCAGGTGCCTAAATATGTATGTTGTGACCTCGCTTTAGGAATCCATTTTTTGGAAAGCGTGTCTCAATTGTTTCTTAAGCAAGTATAATTCTCCTATATGACCGCAAATGTCAGGATGAATGGACTCTGAAACTCTTAAGGAGAATGGAAAACAGATGACTAATAAATCAGGTAAAATCCTGGTGCAATTGAAGTAAATGAGAGTTTTCTCACTCTCTTTAATGTGTCCAGGAGTTAGCTTTTAGAGTATTGTAATATTCACTTATAGAAATCAAAACATTTATTGGGACACAGCAAGTAACAATTCCAGCACACAGGAGCAGGACTTAACTTCCTCCTAACCCTTCCATCCCTGTATCCAGACAACACGCAATATCAAAACAGGACAACAGTATAACACTAAAATAAAGATGCAGCACAACCTATTGATGGAGATGTTGTCAGCCCTGATCATGACAGTATTTTGTTGCAGGGGGAAAATAGCCTTTCATTATTTCTGGCCCTCACAAACCTAATTGCCATTTTTTCCTAATAGACTTTTTTGCTGATCTTCCCTGGCTGACTGATTCTCTTTCAGGTGTGCATAGAAAAAATTAGCTTATCCTTCTCCCCATCAGTACTAGGTGATGTATAGGTGTTATTCTATATTCCTCTCCTTTACTGGATCTCTTTGCCTATCATCCCAGAAAGAGCTATTTAGAGAACTTTCACATTTGGTCCCTTTAAATCTTTCCTTATAAATGTGTGTTCCTTACATCAGAAGGAAAGGCATGCACATATCATAAAATTGTTGAGTATGCTTCCTGGAAGCCATATAATAGGATCAGGAACCATGGCCATCAGGCTGCCACAGAGTAGGAATACTGTTCTAGATACCTATTGGACATTCCTTGACCAGCAGAGAGACTTCGCAATAAGCAAACTGTCTTTGACGTTAGCTGTAGAGACTTATTGATCTCCAGCAATAATGAAAATAGTTTTTGTTTCTTTTAAAAAATGATTATTTTCAAAAAAGATGGTCCACTGATACTTTACCTTAAGCAATAAAGTGGAAATCGTGGTAGAATTTTGTGCAGCAGTTAAAATATAGAGCAAGATTTTCAAAAGTAATTGGTGCTTTTTCATTTTTTGGTGCCCAACTTGAGATACCTTAAAAGGGCCTTTATCAGAAAGTGCTGAGGACACCTTTGGTAACCCGGCCCCTTCTTTTGAGCCACCCAAATATTAAGGCACCCAAAATCCCTAGTTACTTCCAACAATCTTGGCCATAGCCTTTCCTATAAAGACCCCTTAAAACTTTTACAATCAATAAACCACTGCTAACAGAATCGCTTGTCAGCTTTGGAGGCTTGTGAAACATCTCCACTGTAATTTTACAGTAGTTATTAGTGAATATTTAAAGGCAGACATATTCCAGTATGGGTTACCAATATACCAGCATATTGTAGAGTAAGGCGACAATTTACCTTCTTTCTTTATAGGTGGAAGTGAAGGCTTTTCTTTCACTGACTCTTGAAAAGAATTAAAGTACAGTTAAACACATTTTTATTTAAAAAAAACAAATATTTTAACAAATATGATCTGGCTTTATTCTTATCTGTACTGGCTAAAGGGATCAATTTTGAATTCAAACTAGAAATAAGCATCTGGCAGCTAGCATATGTGTATCTCAGTGAAACAGCTAAGCAGTGCTTTATTCTTTTACCCCTTTCTAGTATGGGTAGCTCGAGCTTTTCCTAAGGCCTCGATCAACATTCTTTTGAAGTAAACTAGAAGTACACAGTAGCTGCAAATAACAGCTAAACTACACACAGTGTGATAAAAAAACCTTAAGCTTATATAATGCCTTTCATGCAACTGTATCCCTAGGAGGTTTATAATAAACCAGTATACAAGAATGTCCCAATATTCTCTTTCAGAGTATGGTAAGTTTGAGCTTAAGTTAATTTACTAAATATTTCAAACCTTGGTCTGGAATGAATTCTACATTCAGAGTTCATGATAACGTTACACAGCTTCTCCATAGATTTTTAGCATAATGTATATTTTAGAATAGCTTACAGGTCGACTTCAGATATGCTGAACAATCTGTAAATTTATACACAGGCAGCAATTCAGGTAAATACATAGGTTTCAAATTGTTGATTATCTTCTCCCAGGAGGATGCTCTATGAAATTAACAGACTTATAGATTCAAACTGCAATGGGAACTAGGCATGTATATCAAGGAGTAAAAAGATCCCCAAAGCAAAGCAGCTTTCAACTCAACTCAGTGGAAAGGTAATATACTGCAGTTCTAATGCTAATGCTGCACTGACATGTCAAGTCCACCTGGAGTCAATGCTATTTCTGGAGGCATCATTTTATAAACTGGAGATAATGCAACCTTTTCTTGGGAAGGCCATAAAACAAAAAATTACTATAATTTAACCTAGAGGTTACAAACATAGACTATAGTCTCAGCATCTGTGGGTAACCATATTGTCTGAATTCTACCTCTATATGATAGATGATATGCTGACCACATATCACGTCAATCCAATGACAGAGTTTAAGGACGCCAAAGTATAGGACATATATTGTGATCCGCTAACTAGGTTGGACTTAAACCAGCAGGACCCACTATAATCTTTAGATGCTTCAACAGGACTCTTGATTCACATTGCCAAAAATTTAAGATAAAAAGTTACCGAAGTAGATGCTTCCCACTGTAAACTCAGATGAACACTAATCATATATCTTATCTCTCACTTAGCTGGTGGCCAGATGCTAGCGTGGACTTAACCAGTTCCCATGGCTGTACTAAGCTGTGTATGGGTCTTGTACAGAAACACAGCAGAACCAAAGGTCTCATACAACATGAGAAGAAGCTCTAACGGGTAAGCCAAATAAGAACCCTTCCTTCTGTCCAATCCACACAGAAATTTGCAAACCTTGCCTCAGATGGAAGTTGCTGTTTGTATATCTTATAATTTCTTCTTACTTTAGCTTCCAATTAGCTTTTTTAATAAAGAGCAAGAGTGAGAGAAAAGATGAACAGAAATGTCAGATATCAGAAAGCTGCATACTGAAAGTGGTCATTAGATGTTTTTTTCAGTATTTTACATTCAGAATGGTTCTTGATCAGCAGAAGAGGAACTACTGACCATGCTATTATTGACCAAAATGAAATTGAGAACAGCATTTGGCTGCTTGACTTGGGCCTTGCACATTTGACACAGCAACAGGACTTTTAAGCCAATGTGTCTTGTATGGATGGCAATTAAAGTCCCACTTGCTGCCCATAGCAAGGGTTCAAAGGAGTGGAAATAGAGGAGGTGGCAGGTGGCATCTGATGTGTGAGAATTTCCATCATCAGAACAAAAAACATAATTAAAGTCACTGAGAGACCAATCTCCGTATAGTCTGCTGTCACGCTAGCAGATGTAGCAGATTTTAAAAACAATTAGTTGAGTGGGGATATTTGCTTGCTAATGTGAATTAGTATGGTAGAAGAGTAAGACACCATAGACAGTTGAGCAATATGAAGTTATGAATGAGTGTATATTTCATTGTGATTAAACAAACATTCCCTGTCTTCTTCCAGCACAAACAATTTTTAAGTAAAACAATTAGGTTTCCAGTATATTTCACAGATTAATTTGCTAACCCTCCCCCAATCGTCTGTATAATCATGTGCCAATCACGGGCAGAGATTTGGAGAGGAAGCAGCAAAATATTGTTTTACTAAGGCCGGAGCTGCCTGTTCACTTCTTTCTCATGGAGCAGCAAGGGAAACAGCCTCCTTACAAGTGCCTCTAGGTGTGCATAAGGAATGTACCAGATAGTCCTAGCAGTCCCCTCCCACCCCATTAGTCACTCTAACAACACACAAGGAGAAGGCAAGGACCAAGCTGCTGCTTCACTGAGTTAAGTCCCAAAGACACTGGAACCTGCCTTTCTCCCTGTCAGTGACTGCCTACATAGCCCTAGCCCAGAGTTTAAAGAGCTTCAATTTGGAGTAAGTCTGCACTTCTTTTCCTTCACCTACCAATCCAGGCCACCATCTTTGCTCCCTCCTTCCAGCCAATCAACGAGGGGAACCTCCAGCACTCAGGGAGACCTGATTGCCACATAAACTAAAGGGGATCTAAGTGACCAACCACCCACCACCTAGAATTCCTGGATAACTTACTTGGACCAGTGCTACTGCTGTGATGAAACTGATAGAGGGGGGCTCTAGAGGGGCTTCAGTGAGGTTACACCATGACTAGTCAGGAAGTATTAGACTGAATGGCAGGGGAAAGACTTGCTAGCGTGGGGATGTATGGAGCTGATAGGATTTCTGGGAAAGAAAGAGAATATAATTAATGTGGGGGGTGGTGGTTTAGGATTGTTAACCAGGGAATATCACATGCATCATTGACAAAGGCGGAATTTTTTTGATGGAGCCTTGATAACATTTTGACAGCACATCACTGATCTAAACATTTCGATTGCAAGTTGTTGGGGCAGGGAGCATATCTGTCTGAGATGTCTCAATACATCACCAACAATAATAATTCCCTGACTCGAAACAACTGCAAATAGCTCTCCAATCTTACTGGCTGTTCTTGTTGATTAAGAATGGCAACACATTCTCTTAGGGCCTGAATTTCAGGTCTATATCAGTGCCCACCATGGGGTCAATCCACTGGGAACAAAGGGAAATGGACTAAATAACCTAATGGGGATGGGCTAGATAACTGTATAGTTTTTTCTGTCTTTAGCTACTACAATAATTATCAGCTGAGCAGCATTCAACAGGAGTTTTAAATACAATAAATAAAGACTTCAATGAATCAGAGGATTTGAGTGGCTGAAATTCTAAGCCATCTTGAACCATCTTTTCAGTTACCACTTGTAAATGAGCTCTACATTTTAGTGAACAAGCATGAAGCCTGTCTGTCCTGATCAGCACCATGCCAGAGGAGGATAATAGCCTTAAGCCTGTAGAACACTTCAAACGGAAGCAGAGTGAAATGTTTATGAATGCATCCAATCTACAGTAAATGCTACTTCAAAGAAAGCAGATGACCCGTGAGAATTCAAAAAAGTTCCACGGTACGAATCAAGTGTAAAACAAGTAAGAGAGAGAAATGATCAGGCAGGTGATTCACCTACATGTATAGGTGAACTTTGGGAATGTCCAGTTGAAAATATACCAGTGACTCATGTTTTCATTTTCTTTAATGCTTAATTCTTTTCCACTTAGGAATTATTAAAATGAAATCAGCTTCTCCCACTAACAGCATGTTCCACAGCCATCTGTGGCCATTAGGGATGTTAACAATAGAATAAGGGTTTCATTATGAGATTACAATCATACAGGCATCAGAACTACATATATTTACACAGGCTACAGTCAGTTGGGGGAAGGAAGAAAAGGTATTTTGTAAGATGTGTGATCAGGGGTTCCCATATGTATTACCGGTGTTACGTGAGCTATATGGTCTAGCCATTCATTTTGCAACAATTTTTTTAAGGTGATGGTATGTGAACCAATGAAGTTTGGGAGCTACTGGTGTAGATAACAACACTACTCCTTAAAATAAACCACCACAGGCCAGATCATCTATGCTATAAATTGTCATGGTTCCACTGATGTCAATAGACTTCAGTTGAGATATTTACAACAGGCCCTATATTTTCAAACATTGGAGAATTTGTGAATTCTCCTAGGAAGGGGGGAATCCATATTTCTTTTGAGCAAGCTGAGCACAAATACATTCCAAATTATATATTTGCGATGGGTTCAGCAGTTTTGTGGTGAAACTTTAGCTGTAAAAACTTATGGGGAATGAATAAAGTCTGGTGCAAACTTAAAAATGGCTGAAGCCATTACAGAAAAGGGGCCTGAAATAAAAATTATATTCCAAACTGCCTCATGAAACTGACATAAATGCTTTGAGCATGAAAAATCAGACTGTTTATTCTGTGCTGCAAGTTGTGCATGATGTCCCTTTAAATACTCCTTACTACATTTCCCTTACTTCCCTTTGCTGTAGGGTCAGATATATATAGATATATAAAGACTTTAAGCTGAAGTTTGCTCAGATGTACATTTTAGTTGTATTTCTGAACATGTACATAGTCAGCATTCTCACTCTGTGTGAAAAGGGAAATCTGAATAATGCAATGTCCATCCACTCATCTTTATAGGTGACATACAGTACTCTAATTACACCCTAAAAAGTGCAGCAAAAATCTATGAGGAAGCAACTTCACACAGAACCTACTGCAATCAAGATAAAAATCAATGCATTTGTAACCATGACTATGTATGGCTCTTCCTCTCAAGAACATCTGCCCATTCTATTATCCTAATCATTTAACCATATTTCTCTCTGAGTTATGTATAACAAAGCCACAAAGCTGACACTGCATATTAAAAACCAGAGCAAGAATGGCCATTAGGTATATTTTATTAAAAAGTTAAACAATCATAACTAAGAGGTCTAGATTATGTCCAATTTGTTTCCAACAGCAACCG